AAACGTTCCCAAAAAGTATCATTGAAATGTAAAGCTCTTTAAATTGAAAGTGTATGTAAACGCTCAAAACATGAATTTTTCTTTACTGTATTTTAATTCTTTTAGGTAGCTCATTAATTTCTTTTTATATCATCGTTACTGAACTAATAAGTGCTATTGTGCATTATACCGTAGAAAATTTTCAAATTCTTAACCAATCAAAATTGTAATATTTTTTAAAGTTTTTTCTTAATAATTTCAATAAAGTGAGAAAATGAAAAATTTTATATAATAAGGTGTCATAAACTTAGTAAAAAAATTATTTACTTACAGGAAATAATAAAGTATTATTTATAGTTGTTAGTATAGCACAACTTTTTTAAGTTATAAATTAAATACTTTTCACTGGTAATTTATTGTTGCGAATAAATGAAACAGTAGATACATATAAACAATAATATAATGGACATTATATATACACTGAGCCGCTTTAATGAGCGGTTCATTATAAGTTACAAATATTGCTAAACAGTAATAGCACGTGAAACATTAGACAGTTTATGTTTATACAAAAATAAAATAATAGTTATCGCTGGTACCTGTTTTATTTCAAATAAAGATGTACTATAAATTAAATTTTATCATGAAATAACATCATTACAAAATGTATAATAATTACATAAAATACTTGTATGTATACAAATTAAATTGTCACATTTAAAATATTTAAACTCATAACAAAATAGCATTTTTTATAACAATGAAATTTTATATGCACAACATATCAAATTAATCCCTTCACTTATATTATTTACATACACTTTAAATGCGATGCTCAAATATTTAAATTTAAGTTCGCTAATTTTTATTGATTTTTTACTATTATTTATTATTATTATTTGTAATATTGTAATTTTATTTTGTTCATTAATCTATATAGTACAATTTCTTTATAGTTGTATTATAAAAATATAAACCAAATAAGCATTAAAAGTAAAATTAAAAAATCATTTGAAAGAAGAAATCGTTCTATTTTCTTTTTCCTTAAAAGGTTTATCAAAATGTTTTATTTTTTCTACAAAATATTTTTATATTCCTTTACATACTTACGAAATCTTGTGTTTTTTAAGATAATATGAAGCTTTCTGTAACTATAGTTAAATTCTATAATTAATAAATCTCAAAAGCTTAATGAAAGTTATAAAAACTATATAAACAAGTTTCAACAATATCTTCGTACAATAGATGATGCAGGTGCAGATTTTTGTTGACAAAGGTGGTGGAATATTTATTATGAAGGTTAACTGTTAACACGACACATGACAAGAAAAAAACAGATTTTTATCCAAGTAATAACTCAAAAGGCTAAATGAATACAAACGTTGTTTCTCGTACATAATAATAATAAAAATTTTACTCGATCAACAGAATATATTTATTAAATATTTACTTAATAGTTTGAGATAATATAGTAAAGATGAATCAGACTTGATAATCATTATACAACTCACATGTCTTGAGTTCACATGGTTACAATTGTACATGTAGAGCATTTTGTGTGAGATAATTTACTTGTATTATATTTGCTCTGAAAAGTGGCTGAATTTAGAGGTATTATATTTATGTGTGTTAACGTCATTACATTAATCTAGGAGCTCCAGAAAACAGCCTTGGAATAAATTTCAGAACACGTTTTATTTTGTCCTGAGTTGCTGTAATGCGCTTAATGCTGTGGAAAATCGACCGAGATTTTCTGCTAGTGATAATAACGTGTTTGCTTTTATGTTGAGGTGTACTACTGTAGGATTACAACCATGCAAACTCATCCAAGGAAGAAAATTGTGCGAAATAGATTCAAAAACAGAGATACAACTAGGAGTTTAATTTTGAATAAAGCAACATAAATTATAATTAATCTCTAAATCATCAGAGCATATTCATATTTTGCTCATCTTTAAAAAAGTATAAGTATATGTAAAGGTATAATATAAACGTAAAATATTTAAAATAGTTTTTTTCGCAAATATTATCTTGATCAACAAGAATTTTTCATTAAAAATGTAAATTTCATATGCTTATGCTAAAAACACATACAAAATCCTATTACTTTCAGCTAACAACATTTCTCTGGACAAAAAAACATTATGTTAGCGCATTAGAACTTATTCGATCATGACCGTTCTCATCCTCACCGAATCGTAGAAATGTCATATCATAGAATCGATTTCAATCCTGTTGCAATGTATTTTTTATACAATTTCTTTAATTTTTAAGTAGATATAAAGGGTAATCCGCTAACGCAATTCAATGTCACACACAACATTTTCAGGAGTTATTAGTATAGTATTCTTCACATTTTTACTAAGGATAATAATATGAAAACTTTTTAACCAGTATTTCGGAAGTGATTAACACTTAAAGGAATAAGGCAGAGGTGAAGTTTTCATTTCTAAGCATTTTTGTACCGCTGTTCTCCTCCCACCATCATGTATCTATTTATACCTGCCATTTCCTTAGTTAAATATAAATACAAATAAAATAGTTAAATCATTTCCTTTTTGTTAGCCAGTTAATACATACATTTTCATTTAAAAAACTTAACTAGACACAATTCTAAGAGGAAAGATTAGGGAATAGAACTATATTTTTGTGTTAGTTAAAATGGGTAAGGCGGTAATAACTTCTGAAAGAAAAAATTTTATTATTTTTGATGATATTGCACGGAACATAGTTCATGGATCATTCTGTAGAACGATAAAGTATAATTTTTCTGCGTAACTAAACTAATTTTGTCGATACATTTGAAGCGTAATTCTTTGAGCATTGCTCATTTGAATATTTTCATCAAAAATAAGAAAATAAATAGTAAAAATAAAAAACAGTCATATGATAATAAAGTAAAGGGATTATTATTAAAGAAAATGATAAGAGTCTGTTGGTCAGCATTTTATTGATGTTTCATGTATTTTTTTCGTAGCTATAAATATTTGCCAATTTACAATTTAATACTATAATACCATTTTACAATGATCCTCCAGACGTAATTAGTAAGCCATATTTTTAGTCTTGAAAAAGCTTTATAACTTTTCTTTATATTACATTTTTAGTGTTTAGTTATCAAAATAATATTTAAAATGTAACTAAAAATGGCATAAATAAATAATACTAAAGTCACAATGATTATGTTTGATTTTTTAGATCATTAATTTTACATTACTCTGAGAAAAAAATTATTCACACCATTAAAGTTATTTTTAATATACAGTCTATATGTTTTTTCTGGCACTTAACAAAAAAAAATTGATTTCACAAATTTTTTGTTAGAATAAATATTTTTTTTGCTAAAATAATATTCTAATAATCTAATAATCATTGAATCTAGTATAAACAGTAAAATTTTACCGATTATAAATGTTTACATAAGATAAAAACTTAGGAAGCACGTTCTTCCTAAGTTTTAATATTACTATATACATATGGTTTATGTAGGTTTTATAAGGTCAATGCTCCTTACATGCATAAACATATTTTAATAAACTAGATATTAATACTACTTGAAAACAAATAAAAAATATTTTAACATATTCCTGAATATAAAGTTTTGAAAATTACACTGTTCATACTTTGGAAATAATTTTTTCTGTCGAGTTTTTTTATACTCAGCGACTTACTGCGTGTTGAGGTAACATATTGTCTGCTAAGTGATTCAAAAAATTTGTCCTGGAGTTTTTAGCTGAAAATATAGTAAGGCGTGGTTGATTGCTTAGGAACCACAAACAATGGACGATTTAAGTCATTATGGATTTCCATAGAGTGACAAAAAAAAAAGGAAATACGTGATGTGAGTAGGTAAGTATCTTTTATGCACAACTATTGGATGTTTGAATGACAATGAGTACTCGAGAGTCCCTTTACATTACACTGGTAATAGGTGGATTTTGACTTCTTATGATGCGAAGACCTGTTAAAAAAAAAGGATATATATGACGTCAAACTATCGGTTAAAATGATCTATCATTTATTTAGTACGTCTATAGGTTATGTTTTACAAAGACGATAAAAATTTTGTCTTTCTTGTTAGCCAATCAAAACGTAGACTTTAATTTGTGTTTTTTTCATTTTTTTGAACCTAACCCAATTATTATACTTGAGCAGAATACTTTCCTGAATACCCTAGGAATACATGTTAAATTATTATCTAACATAAGAGTATAGTTTTCAATACTCGAAGATTTTGAAGAATGATATAATTATGATTTATATTCTAAATACCAACTTTTTAGTTAAAAAATAATTTTCTAATTAACTCAATGAGTGCTTGTTCTAAAATTGTTATCGTCCAATGAACATTTTTTGCAAGAAAAACGTTCAAAAATGATTATTTTGAAATTTTAACAAAAATAAATAATGCATTTTCTTATTGGTGATAAATAATAAAGAAATATATTTAAAACGTAGTCTAAAATGATAAAAAATATTTTAAAAAATGAATTTTTTACTGAATGATAATTTATTAAGAACTATAAGGGTTGCCAGACAAGTATGAGACAATCTGTATACGATGTTGTAATATATTTTTGGTGAAATATAAGTTTTCTGAAGTAAACCAAAACACTAAAATTTCGTAATATTGTTTCATAAAGAATAAAACAAGTGTACAAACTTTTCAAGTCCTTTATTTTGTGAAGTTTTAGTCAGTTAAATTAAGAATTTTAACAAACCAAGTATGAATGACAAAAAAGTTGTAATATTTTAATAAAAAATAAAGTAGTAACTGGTTTACATTGTTTTCAAATTCATATCTATAAATTATTATAATAATATTATAATGTTATTACTATTAACTTAGGTGATAAGTTGAAATTGTTAATCGTTGTGTAAAAGTTCCCTATTACTAAAATCCAAAAAGTTAAAATTTGAAAATTAGTCATGTTTGTCGAAAAAACAAAATGGATATAAAATAATATTTACTAACAATAAATGGACCACATAAATATTTTCGATTTTTTATTTTTTTCCAGCTATACTAGACTCACTATGTAAGGATTTCCTAACCATGAATGTTTCGGCAATATTATACTTAATGAACTACGAAAAATACGGCAGGAGTACAGCGTCAGCTCAATATTTTTTACAGTTGGCTGGGTATTTGGGTATACCAGTGATAGCTTGGAATGCTGACAATTCGGGACTGGAAAGAGTAAGTGCATGAGTAAAATACATACACAAAGCTTATGGTTTAATGAAAATAAAATTGAATAACATCAGTTTGGCATACAATGCTTGTTGCTTATTTATTTTGACGTAGGTACTTTCACATAATATAAAGTTATATAAAAGTATGCCTGTCATAACTTTATTGTCATGAAATTTTTATTTTATTATCCGTAATATATTTTTTAGTGTAAAACATAATGAAATTCATATCTAAAAAAATGTTTTTCGCCAATTTTTGTTGGTATAATTATAACTTTATTATTGGGCGATAGTAAATTCAATGCACCTTTTTACAACCATTGGTGTTACTTGAGATACATTTTTTTATTTCTATTTTATTATATTAAATGAGTTTTTTTTTTAACACACGGATTTTTTAATCGATTAACAATCAATCAAGATTACCTGAACAAACAATTTTTTTTGCCTAGTTTCAAACGGGTGTAGTTATTGTTAATACTACAACTTGGGTTATTATATTGGAAACCCTATTAAAAGATTTGCGATATTAAAAGATACCCTTTAGTTACGCCAATGATGATATATTACTATAACCATTTGTATAGCTTATGAAATATAGAAGTCTATGAGTAAATTAAATTTACAGAAATTGAATAAAAAAAAATAAGATAAAAATTTCTTTTAAAGTAAAAACTTAATTTTTGAGAAGTATTAGTTTTTATTAGATTTAACTATTCAAATTTTACACATAACATGTAAAAAAATTATCTCGGAGTAAGGCTATAAATTATATTAGAAAGATTTGTGGTGAAATAGATTGATTTATACTATAAGATTATTTAGAAAAATTTTAATTGTATGCACACGTATTAAAAAAATTCTACTTAATTTAGAAAAAAGCGACGATTTTTAATTTCTATTCATTTTTTATAATTATTATTAAGAAGAGGCCCATTCATTCAATATATAAATTTTAACAAAAAAGTTATATTTATCTATTTAGAAATGTAAACAAAATCGTTACCTTAACCAATTTTTATTGAATAGCTATAATTGTATTTGTTACAAACAATAATTTTAGAAATACTTTGGTTCATTTACTAATATGAAATACTAATAGTGGTATTTTCTATTAATTTATTTATTAAAGTTGTTTTATTATTGTTCAATAGTTCAACAACAGTAAATACTGTTGTGCTAGAGTATAGATGAATTGAAAAACTTTTTGATTAAAACTTTTAAAACGATTTTATATTTTATTTTGGAGCTCAGCATTACTTCAAATACAATCTAATAACTGTTATTAAAAATATTCATTTCAATAGTTGAATTTTTTCCTTAGTAATTTATCAAGTGCTGTAGATGTAAAATATTAAATTGGTAAACGTTTTCATTTTACTAAAGCTATATAATTTAGCTAAAATCTGTACTAGTTTATAACAAATCCCAGTTTTATACGATTTTCGATAATAAGATAGCAATATTGTCTAAACAAACACAGACATCCAAATAATTTCATTATGGAACAATTGTTAAATAGAATTTTCGTAATTGCTTTTGCAGTAATCTAATATATGTAATTTAGTAAATACTTTGCAAATACAACTATAAGTCGCAATGTTTATGGCCGCAAAAAAACTATATTTATTTCGAATGGTTTCTCTTAAACATATCTAAACCGATGTGTATTATAAATCTTAATTTATAATAAAACAAAATATACAGCGAAATAAAATTTTAATACATTTTAAAACTAAAAAATTAATTTGAATGAACTTTTCATTACTGACAATTAATCGTGTGTTAAGTTATTCTTAGTCCTAATAGAAAAATAACCAATTTTATATTTTACAGAGAGCTTCGAGGTCTAGTCTACAATTGCAGTTAGCTCCATCACTGGAACATCAAACGGCAGCCATGTTAAGCATATTAGAGAGATACAAGTGGCATCAGTTCTCTGTGGTAACATCACAAATTGCAGGACATGACGACTTCATTCAAGCTGTCAGAGAACGTGTGGCTGACATGCAAGACAGATTTAAGTAAGCCCATTAATATTTTATGTTTTTAAATTATTATATACCTTAAAGTGGCCAGTAACCAGTCAGCTGTTTTAAAGTAGAAATCTTCATTTTTTTATTTAAAGTGCCTTAAATTTTTATAAGACAACACTTAAATAAACAATTTATCGTTATCTCTCGTTATAAATTAGACTGACATAAGATTTAATTATTAATTCTAAACACGTATATTTTTTCACTATCGTAAAGGAATTAATATTTTATAACCAATTTCATAGTTTGCAAATATGTACGCAGTACCTAAAAATAAACTTAGTTTTGTCGTTCTAATAGTTAATAAAATAAAGCATCTTTCGCTTATGTTACAAGAGGCTGTACTACTGTAATATTTAAGGCAATGTCTACCCTACAGACAAAATAAACATTGTTGTTTAAGATTCTCGAACAAATTTTGGCCAATAAATGTTGACAAAATGGCTTTCTTAGGATTTTTACGGTGAGAGATATACGTATGAAAAATGTTTACTATTACTGCACATTTTAAGCACATAAGTATTTCTATTGTATTACGGTTACAAGTTATAACTTAAAAACTCTATCTTAATTCTGAATAAGATTTCTTATGATAAAAATCCAAATTATGCTAATGTTAAAAGTTGATTAAAAATTTGTAAAAAAATAAATTTTGCTCTAGGAAATCATGAACGAATTTAAATAATTAAAATTTTGAACTGGCTATGATTATTTATATAGATATCAAAATCTAGTACCAGGAATTTATAAATCCTAATGTATGCGGTAATATGTCCGTTTTTTCAAAAAAATTACACCGTCATAATATTATCCCATTATTTGTATAGTTTAGTGTCCCATGCGCAACTGTAGTCAGGCAACTCAGCAATAATCTCAGGTCCGAGATTCGATCGCGGACGGCTCCGTTTGCTAAGGAAGAGATCAGTTCAGTTATTGGAATCACCATCTCTGTCTCTGACAACGGACTAACTATCCACTCCAAAGTATTTATGGTTAAGCTGTGATGGGCCTTAATAAAAAAAATTTCGACGTTAAAAAGTCAATAGTTACGCCATAAGCCACCGGCTTATGGCGTCCATTACCATTCAAATAAAAATATGCATTATTGAAATTTCCTACCAGGAATTCATAAGTTATCGCACCATGAGTCAAATATTTCACTTTTACGAGGGACTTCGGCATTTTGCGACAAATATTATGTCTTATTATTAAAAAAATCTTATGTCAGAAATTTAAGTGAACTTTTGTAAATAGTCAATGGGTCAGGTACATGAGAATATGTGTAACGTCTCGCTAGTAATTTTCTTGTGGTCGTATACATTATTTAATAAAATAATAATGTTACAATTGATGATTCTCATAAGTTTCTATTTTTAAAATTCTAACATTAATCTAAAATTCTATATTACAAAAACTTAAAACAACTTAGGATGTTTTCACGTTATTCCATTTATTTTTTTGTCAAGATTGTTTAAAAAAGTTTTAAGACTTATGAAAACAGTTTTGATTTCAAACTGTTTTATGGGTATTTTATACAGATTTTATTAGAAAATTTGATCAATAACAACTTTTGGACCAATATTTTGATAGTTATTAATTTTTAAATATGAATTCTGAGGTTGAAACGTGACTCTGTTTATTTTTATCTCTTGATATTAATATACCGCAATATTCCTCCGTCTTGTTATTAAAACGAACAAAGAACATAAAAGTTGTTATCGACCAATCAATTCCTCAAATAGATCTTTTTTTTTATTAGTAAGTTAATTAATCATACGTGTTTCTATTAAAAAACTAAAGTCAATAAAATGTTGAGGGTAATGTAGGAGAAATAGAGAAAATTTTTTTTGGAAATTATAAAACGTTGCATACTATTAACTTGTGAAAAGTAAAAAATATATATATTCTGTATACTAATAATTTTTTTTTATATACAAATCTGTATATAAGAATAAAGTTATCTCATGATTATGGCCGACCCATAATCACTTAGGACTATCTGAGTAATATGCTTGCGGACCCCAAAGTACTAAATCCGTCTCTGGGTAAGTCATGACGTAATCAGAAAACGAACAATGCGTCGTTTTCTAAGGATGTGACAAGATAAATTAATGAATTAAGAAGTAATAAATCTAATGAAATAGATGAATCTAGCATATTTCACTTAATTAATTTTAAAAAAACACCATATTTTTTTCAACACATTGCAAAACCATTTTTATTATTTTAGCTGCATAATTTTATTATGTCGATGCATAAAAAAAACCTAGAAGTATAGCTTCACTTTAAAGAATAATAAAATATATGTGTTAATTTCACAAAATTTTTTAACAACAAAATATCTTATTATTTTTGATACGTAGTCTTTAAGTTAAGGGTGAGTTTAAAAACAGATATTGTTCTTTTGTGGAATTTTTATTTAATCATAATTAATTTAAAAAGTTATAATTAAGGTGTTCATTTTAAAAACACAACATATCCTCAATTTTTACCTTACATAACTGAGAATTATTTCGTACCTTTAATAACTTTATTTAACATTTCTCTTGCCCATATAAGGTAAGGGTTGGGTTATATTGTAATTTATTATATTTTTCCTTTGCAGTTTTCATCGAACTCCGCATTATAACTCAACCTCTTTGTAATAAATTTAACGAGATTTATTTTTAAAAAATAAGCATAGCACTTTTAATAAGATTTTCATTTAAAAATATATTTAATATAACTTATTGTATTAGCTAGTGAAAGAATGTTTTTATTAATTCATTGAATTTATTAGCATTATTATTATTTTTGATATTTATTTGGAATATATTATACATCATATTAAAAACAATATTAATATTTGATTTTTAAAAATTCTGAATTTAATAATAGCCATTATTGATGATAAAATATTAACTTACCTATATCTTACCAGTAAATTCTCAAAAAAAAAAAAAAATGAATCTACTTTGTAATTAACTCCCATGAGATTTTAAATAAGTTTTAACACAATTTTTCTTATTCCTATACGTATAAAATATGATTTGCAACTTAAAGTTATTCAACTATGTTAAGTAATTGGTATAAATCATAAGTTATGATTTATACCAATTTTTATAAAAGAGTTATAATTCATAAATCTCTTATAAAAATCGAGAGGTACTTACAGAATTTTGTAAAAATATTGATTTTTGAAATAACAAAACTCTATACATTTAGTTGAATTGATATTCAGTAGTCGTTAAAACGTTATATTACTAATTGTGAAATTCAAATTCATATATTCACTGCTTTTGTTTACCTGCTATTGAAATGTCCGTAGCCTTTTGAATTTAATGAAACCAACCGTTTAATAAAACTTTAAAAAATAAACTGAATAGTTAAAACAAAATTCGTCAATAAATGGAAATAGTCCTGGAACAAAATTATAATAATGAATAATAATGAATTTAAAACATCACACCCTAATAAGAGTCCATACTAAAAAAAACATCAAATATAAATAAATACTACAATTTTCATACTGATAGTATTATATTTAATATTATGATACACTAGAAGATTTTTAATTTATAACGTATATATATAATTTATTTTTTGGCGTGTTCCTAACTCATCTGAATTTAACAACCTTTATATAGTTAACAAATTTACTTGTTATACTGCATAAAATGTAATTTTCTACTAATTATTTTGCTTTATGGGTGTAATTATAAGTTTTATTTATTTATTATAATATAATTTGCAAAAGATACAGTAATATTTCTTACTAAGACGTATAATTTTTATTCTTTACAATGAAACAAAGTAATATTAAAAGTTTATCTAAAATGAGCTTTCTTAAGTTACTTTATTGAAATTAATAGTACATTTCAAATCAATATGATGTTTATTAAACCCGCCAACGTTTAACACTTACAGCCTTAAAATATTACAGCTATAGCGAAGAATTTCATAGGTTAACACAACTAATTTATCCGGAATTTCGACTCAAAAACAAACAGTGAACGTTATTCATGCAAAATACGGATGTTTCACAAACGGAAATACGGGTTTACGGAAATTAATGTCATTACATTGTAATTCTAAGTTGGTATTGTCGGTTCTCTAGAGATACGATTTCCACAAGTCGAAAATAATGTACTGAAAATGTGTTTAATGCTAAATAATTAATTGACAAATATAGGAACATAAACAAACTGCGATATTAATTTTATTTTGACTTATTTAAATTTATATATTGAATTGAAAATAGCACATTGCAACTGCTAACACAAATTTGTCAAACTTAAATGAATCCATTTGAAAACAGATCTTCTATATTTAATACGAAATACTGTAATTGAACTAGTAATGTAAATTAGTTCTTATTATATATGTTTATTTAAATTTAAGGGTCAACATCGATAATTACAAAATACCTATTTATCACGATTTGTCTATGAGTTTTATACCACTTGACTATGTAGACATATTTTACTATAACTTTGATATAAAGCATCATTTTATATTGTACACTTTAAGTTGTTGTAAGCCTCTTATTAACTGTATTCTTCAATAATTATCTAAAAAAAAGTCAATGGTTATTTTTTAATTGCTTGTCATTCACAAGTATGTTCTTTATAACCTTAGGCTCTAAGGTCGTATCTTTGCCGTTTTTTCTTCCCTTAACAGGTTAAATATATATTTAATTATAAACTCAATTAGACTGGCTAATTTGAATTTTTTAACGCAGGTGTTTCATTAAAATGTAACAGCTTAGTAAATTCAATAATTACAAAAACAATATATCATATTATAATACACAGGTTCACAATATTAAATAATGTGTTGGTAACCAAAAGTCAGGATTTATTGGAATTGGTCAATTCGGAATCACGAGTTATGCTACTTTACTGTACCAGAGAAGAAGCTCTTAGAATACTCACAGCAGCCAGACATTACAAAATAACAGGAGAAAATTACGTTTGGGTAGTTACACAAAGTGTCATGGAAAATTTACAAGCACCCCAACTGTTCCCCGTCGGTATGCTGGGTGAGTGTACTTAAATAATTTTCCATGCAAGATTTGTAATAATTTTTCCCAAGAAAACGCTATTTTCAAATAATAAAACTAATTTTCAATCTTATTCATGAGTATAAATAATATAGTCCTCAATTAAGGAAATAATTTTGACCTTATATTCTCAAAATAAAATAATTTATTCCATATTTTGGTTAGTAAAAAACATTACTTAAAAATAAATGTAAAATTATACAAGTCAAAATAAATAATACAAAATTAATTTTTACAAACAATTGAAAAAAATTATAGTTTCTTAAATAATTGCCAAGTAAATAAAGTTTGGGCTAAATAACTAAATTTCATATAGTTTTATAAAATCATTCAGAAAGAACAAGTTTTAAATAAAACAATCTTGTGGGTAGAAAACTCAAATAATTTAATTTCATAATATTAGTATAAAGTTACTTATATCATAAGTAACTCAATAACATTTTTTACTTTTCAATCATTTTTAATATTTATTTAAATGGCCATTTAATAGACAAAAAATTTTAAGTATTTTTCAAATATTTGTTAAAACAAGCAGTAATGCTTTTTTGGATTGTTCCACTATTAATCACAAAATTAAGAATTAAATATTTACAGATATCGGATTTAATACTAGTACATATGTTAATCTAAGTAACTTAGAGTTAGAATTATTTTATTCATAGAAATTTTTATGCTCTTTAAAGCTGAATGAGAAAATTTTTTTTATTTTGAAAATTTTATCTTAAATGTATCATTAAATGTTTTTGCAAAACAAACTTTTAGAACATATTCTTCTTATAACTAACTTTGATTCAAAAAAATTAATTTTTATCGAAAAACATGTTTTCTAACTTAAACTGTATCTTTTGATCATATTAAATGTATTTCGGGTAAATTTAGGAGTTCACTTTGACACCAGCAGCGAAAGTCTAGTTAAAGAAATCAATACAGCAATTAGAGTATTTGCATATGGAGTAGAAGATTTTGTCAGTGATCCTGACAATGTAAATGAAACATTATCAACACAATTATCATGTGAAGGTGATGGAGAATCTCGTTGGACGACTGGTGACAAATTTTATAAGTTAGTACTTTCTTTATCTAATCAAAAAAATGATCACATTTATAAATAAATTAAAAATATCAATGGTATTTTACAAATTGTTACTCATATTCGTTTTATGTAAAGAGCTAGTTTATTATCAAATCTTCTTCTTCTTCCTCGCCTTAATCCCAACTACTTGGGATTGGCCAAGGTTATTATTATATAAATTATCAAATATAGAGTATTTGGTAAACAGGTAAAAGAGTGAAGCAAAATTAAATCTAAGATTTCTGCACAAACTTTAGTCAGCTTAAAGTATCTATTGTTTGGTATAATCTATACTCCTGATAAATAAATGAAGTAAAAGTAATTTAACATAGACTATTCAACGCCAATTTGAAAGAAAAATAATATTTTTATTGAATAATCTAACTTTCCTATAGAGTTCTTAAATAAAAATCACTAAGAATTGTATAATATTAATAAATTATCGGGACCCTTGTCAATTTCCATTTATTACGTTTTTTGATACATTAAATTATAGAAAGAGTCACACTGAATATTATTAAGAAACATATATAAAAAACCCAAGGATAACCCTAAATATATGTTCACTACTAATTCTATTGGCTATTAGCAAATGGAAACATATTTTATTTGTTTTGTGTGGTACTTCCTTTGTAATCTAAACCATGAATTGCTTAATGAACCATAACTATTTAGTTACTTCAACTGACGAATTGAAAAATTTTATTTCAGATACTTGAGAAATGTTAGTGTTGAGAATATTGAACCAGCAAAACCAAAGATAGAATTTACAGCAGATGGTGTTTTAAAGTCTGCAGAGCTGAAAATCATGAATCTTAGACCTGGTCTTGGGAATTCTCTCGTTTGGGAAGAGGTGAGAGGTGGTAAATTTTATTTAATGAACATTTATTGTGCGACTACATTGTTTTAATATGTTTATCACATTCAAAACAACATTAAGCAACCTTGTGGATGACGGGATATTTTTCTGATGTGAGCCATAACGTGCTTAGAAAATTGATTACTAGAAATACGTTAACTCCAACAAAATACGTGTGCATGAATAAATTATTCTTTGCCAGTAAAATAATCTAAATTATTTGGAGACAATGTCAATTATTTCTCTTTACACATTTAGTATATCCATTATCTATAATTATAGTCTTACTTTATCAAATATGAAATAACTGCATCCTTATCTTAAATAAACAATTACATGACGATTTTTATTAAAAAATTATCAGATTTTTTTATTATTATTTAAATTAATTTATTAATTATTTCCTCTAACTTAAATAACAAAAAATATAATTCATTTCAATTAATTAGACAATATTGACTAAATATTTCATGGTTATTGCCAATTATAATATCTCATACAAGTAGAATGAGTTCATTTTTGTGTTATTATCGCCTTAAATAAATTACTTTTTAGTTAATTTCTTTTTTAAAAGTAAATTCAGTAAGTCATTTATTCGTAGATTGGAGTCTGGAAATCTTGGGAACGAGAAGGGCTATACATTAAAGACATTGTTTGGCCTGGTGACAGTCATACTCCACCTCAAGGAGTGCCAGAAAAGTTTCATTTGAAGATAACATTTCTTGAAGAAGCTCCTTATATTACTATGGCACCTTCAGATCCAATTACTGGAAAATGTAGTATGAACAGAGGAGTTATATGTCGAATCGCACGCGAAGAAGATATGGAAGAGTAAGAGTCAACAGATTATATGTTCATTTTCTATCTAGTTTTACTTAATGAAAACTATATTAAATCACTTATTATAAACATAATGGCTTAATTAAGTGTATTCAATAAACGTAATTAACAGAAATTCAATGAATAAATTGACTTGAGGGATTGTGCATGCATTAACGGCTGTGATTCATCCGCCATTAAACAATTTATCACAAATCTATTTAATAATCAACTCATGCTATCACAGCTGTCTCAAGTTGTCTAAGTTTAAATTAATATCAAAACCACGTTATTAAACTATTGCCATGTTCCATTTACACTATAATAATTTTATTTAACTACACTATGTAACTATTTCATACTTATTGTGAAATTTCGATAATCATAAACATATTTTATTTAAAAATTTAACTGTTTGTACAATGAATAATTACTTTATAAAAATAGTCTTTCTTTTTTTTTATATATAATTAGGGTAGATATTCCAATAGCACATCGCAACGGAAGTTATTTCCAGTGCTGTTCAGGTTTCTGTATTGATTTGTTGGAAAAATTTGCAGAAGATTTGGGTTTCACATATGAGCTCGTTCGTGTTGAGGATGGTAAATGGGGAACGCTAGAGGTCAGTATTTCATTTTAATTAAAAGCCAACGACTTTTTACTAATGTATTAGATATTATTATATGTTATATTATAGAATGGCAAATGGAATGGTTTAATTTCGGACCTAGTAAATAGAAAAACTGATATGGTAATGACTTCTTTGATGATTAACTCGGATCGTGAAGCTGTGGTCGATTTTAGTCTTCCATTCATGGAAACAGGAATATCTATAGCCGTCACTAAACGTACGGGTATCATTTCACCAACCGCATTTTTAGGTAAATCAAATCTAAAATATTTATTCCAATAACATTAATGTTCTTTGTTGATTTTTAACAGAACCTTTCGACACTGCATCATGGATGATGGTAGGAGTAGTAGCAATCCAAGCAGCGACATTTTCTATATTTGCATTTGAATGGATGAGTCCTTCTGGATTTGATATGAAGGTATCATGTTAAAGTCATAATTATAGTTTTATTTATTTTATTATTGCTGATAAAATACTGTTTCAGTCAGTATCGCAAGCACCAAATCACCGATTTTCTCTGTTCAGAACATACTGGCTAATATGGGCTGTACTCTTCCAAGCAGCAGTTCAAGTTGATATACCTAAGGGAATTACTTCCAGGTATACATTTAACAATTTTTTTTTTATCTTACGTAAAATAATTTATTAAAAATTAAAACAAAAAAATAGATTCATGACCAATATATGGGCTATGTTCGCTGTTGTGTTTTTGGCCATATACACTGCTAACTTGGCAGCTTTCATGATAACTAGAGAAGAGTATTATGATTTTCTTGGAATTGATGATTACAGGGTAATATATTTTACATGAAAAATTTATTTTAATTAATAAACTGTCCATAGCTTATTGGAGTTCAACAATTAAACAATGTATATTTTTTATAGCTCAGTAAACCTCATAGTCACAAACCTATGTTTAAATTTGGAACGGTACCACATTCACACATTGACTCAACTATTCATAGATATTTTCCCGAGATGTTCAATTACATGAAGAACTTTAACAGATCAACAGTTCAAGATGGACTTAATTCTTTATTGACTGGGTAAAATTAAATTTTTATCTTTATTTATCGGTTTAGTATTTATATTATTTTTATCTACCTTCATTAGTGAATTAGATGCATTTATCTATGACGGCACTGTATTAGACTATTTAGTAACTCAAGACGATGACTGTAGACTATTAACCGTAGGATCCTGGTACGCTAAAACTGGTTATGCAATAGCATTCCAGAGAAACTCAAAATATGTTCAAATGTTTAACAAACGTTTGTTGGACTTCCGTGAAAATGGTTTACCTTTTATTGAAATTAAAACTTCATATTTGAGATTGTGATTTAATTTTTTTAAATTTTTTATACAGGTGATTTGGAAAGATTGCAAAGATTTTGGATGACCGGAACTTGTAAACCAGATGATCACGATGAGCATGCTACTAGTGACCCTTTGGCTTTAGAACAGTTTTTATCAGCTTTTTTGTTGTTGATGGGTGGTACATTATTAGCAGCATTGATATTACTATTGGAGTGTTTGTATTTTAATTTTTTCCGGAAGAAACTAGCGAAAACAGATCAAGGAGGTTGTTGTGCTCTTATAAGTTTGGTAACTAATGCTAAAATGCAATTAGATATTTTTTATTTGTTTAGTGTACTTATATGTGTAATTTATAGTACATAAAAATTTCTGAAAATAATTTCATCAAAATTAATATACTAAATAATTATAGAGCATGGGAAAGTCTTTAACGTTCCGAGGTGCCGTGTACGAAGCCCAAGATTTTTTGAAGTTTCGTCGTTGTAAAGATGCTGTATGTGATTCACAATATCAACTTCTCAGGAGCCAACTAATGAGTACATATTCAAAAATGAAACAATTAGAAAAAGAATTAGAGCTGAGAAAGTTAAAAACTGAAAGAAGGTAATTTAATTATAATTTGTTTAATACTTAACAACGTAGGATTTTTTGAAACTATGTTTTGCATTGTGTCGTCAGGAGGAAGAGATCGGCATCTTCTTCTAGGTTATTTCAGTGTTTGACTGAAGGTCAAGATAAAAATCCGGATAAAAAACAGTAAGAATATATAAAAGAAAAAAGAACATAGGATCGGTAGAAAGATGAAGCATAAAAATTGCTTTGCCGCGTTGAATATTAGTATTAGGCTGTATTATTATAAGTTTGGGTATATGGAACCTATGCGCTTTACAAGCTTATACGTATTTAATTGTATAGAAATGGTTCGAAAAAATGGGATTATCTTTAAAGTAACAAACTGTTATAGCTTTTAATATTATTTTTATAAATAACTGCTTTAGGAGCAATTTAGATAATTCAAAATAATTATATGCTGTTGAAAATAATATTGAACAATCATATGTATATTTTTTACACTGTTGAACTGTAAATAGTTAGTAGCATGTGCGTTAATCAAATGCAAGATTAAATTTTAATATTTAAGTAATTAATAAACAGCATAAGTATATGAATATTTAAATCACTTGTATTTTTGATACATTATTATTTTATTTGATTAATAGATTCCAATTTTCACCAGCGTCACCATTAAGACAAAGAGACGTCGTGAGACCAAGTATTGTTTCGACAGAGTATATAAATAGATTTGATCATGAGCCAGTCAGGTAAAATAAATTAGTCTGTACTATATGAATTCAATGACACTAATGAAAAATAGAACAATAGTCGACATAAGATCGATTTGAATCCAACAACAATACATATTGAACCGTAAATGTTCATTAAAACACTGTATAGTTTACTTAATTATCTCACAAAACTAATAACTTGGATTTTGAAATTTCCTTAATTTATATCGTGTAGTAGTAATTGATATAGACACAGTAAAAGTCTCCATACCTCGTTTTAACTAGATAGTTTTCATTGATCTTATAAAGAATAAAGAATGTTTTTTAATATTTTTCAATACCATAATAAGTAATGTAATTTAATTAATATCGAATATGAAGTTAATATTTCTACACTATCATTTATCTATTTATTATCAAAAATTACCGCAATTATCATACCTTCGACTTTGATTTCATTCTATTGAAATACTATTCATACTTTAACTATTTAACTAATTTTTAAATGTTTGCTATCAATCGAAAAAATTTTTCCAGGACAGAAATCGCAGAAATGGAGACAGTTCTGTGATTTTATTTGATGTATAGACTCAACTAAACGACAAATTATATCATCAAAAGCAAAATATTTTAGTTTGTAAATGTGGAGTTTATAATTATACAATTTAGGATAAACAATTAAAATAATGTTATTATTATGAACATTTTTATTTTTTTGTCATTTTTAATATTTGTTTGCATTGCCATAAAATGCGGACGGAGAGGAAAAGAAACTGAAAAAAATTAAACCATGCTCAATACTAATATATTAATATTTATAATTGACTTTGTTTGAGCTATAATAAGGACAATAACGCATTTTTTTAAAATAAACAATTATTATTTTTACTAGATATTCTTCTCTTGTCTTTTTAAGTCATAGTTAAACTCAAAAATAAAAACAAATTTTCACAAACCATTTTTTTTTTTTTTGTTTATAGTTAAAATAAAATGAATAAAAATTTTAATCTTGCTCGGCTTTTAAAGTATTGTATTTATACATTTGTTGATTAAAACTAAGATAATAAATACATTTTACAAATTAATAAACATTATACCTATTATCATCGGTTTGCTCAAAAAGAATATCACTTATATGTGATAATCAGATTTTAGCTATCTGAAAATGTTATTAAATTTGTTTTTAAATTGTATATATATATAGAAAATGATTATTGTGTAAAGAGTTCAATATTATGTGCGTTATTATAGAAGCTTACTAATTATAAGCACTAATTATTCAAGTTAAAATATTAAAACTATAATAAGTTTATAAAAGTACCACATAAAATTTTTATCGAATTAGATAAAGCCCAGAAGCCCAAGGGCTAACATTAACTGAGAATTCTGAATCGTAGGCGTTCTTTAAACCTTAAATTTTATGTTGCGCTTTGACGAAAGAGGTCCCTAAATTTTTAAACTTGGAGGCTGTCATTCTACATGATCGTTTATCTTATTTGGGCTTGAATCAGATGAACGTATCAACTGAAAAAATGTATAATTTTCCTAAAGGTATCATTGTCATTTAAAATAGAATGTAATAATAAAAAGAAACACAGTTCCAACGTAATTTTTTTCATTAATGCGTTACTTTATATAACAAACTAAAGAAATATAAAAAATAGTGTACTTTCATATAATATTTTACAAAGTATAATAAATTTTAATTGTCAGTTTGACAGATTTTTCACCAATGTAATTATTTAAGAGAATTTTTATTTAAATTTGCTCGAAAAGTATAATTACCAATAGATGTTTGTTGATTAGTTAATAAAATTGCATTATTGTTATTAAATGTTTATATTGTTATTATGCCGTGCATGTAAATATACAGTAAAGTATTATTATGTAATAAAAACAATATTGTTTTGTTAAAATCATTTAATATTATTAGTAAATTAAAATTTGTATTAATATTTTTTTGAGGATTTTATTTTAATAGTTCTATAATATATTTTAATTAAAAAAAATTTTGTTCACGTTAATTTTACTTTAATTTATAATTTGTATTATAATTTATTATACCAACGATTCTAAAAAATGCTATGAAAATATGCTAATGCTAAATTTTTTGTTAATGTTATTAAGTTGAATAGGTCAAAAATATTGAAATTTGATGTCTCATGTATGTATATTTTATGTAATTTTTATTAAACAGTTTTTAAGAAATTTTACATGCAACAATGTTGTAAATTTACAATTGAAAGGCAATAAGTGATAATATTGGCGATCGAACAAAATTTTGTATCATTCTATGAATGTTATACATAATTTTGTAAATTGCGCCCAATAAGCTGTAAAATTTAATTAATGTAATTTCAATAATACTTTCAAAATGACACTTTTTTATATAACTTCTGCCCTAAATTGAATTTATGCAATATATAAAAAGGCTTAGAGTATTAATATATATGAAAAAATTAAATTTTAAATTTAATCTAAAACTTAAAAAGTGTAGAGTATCTTGTACGTAGCAGTACTATAAAATATATATAATATATTATATAAAAATAAAATATATGTCAAACATTTTGTCTACCTGCCATTATTGATAAGGTGACTAAAGTTAACTCTTATACCAATAATTAAATTGATATATGTATTTTCTGTTGTTAGTGTAAGAAATATATGTTTTGTGTGATTGTATCATACAAAAATTTGTTATGTAATTATTTTTTTTGTATTAAACTGATTACACAAAGCCAATATAGTGGAGATTATTGTACTTTAATGTTATTTGAATAACTCCTAAAATTATGCAAAAAATTATATACAAAATCAAGATTGTATATGAGTTTATACAAGCCGTACACAATTTTTATTTTTAATATATATTTTTTTTTGTGTGTTTAATTTTAAGAGTTATATAAGTAAGATCAAAATAAATACTCTCCTCTACATCGTGAGGCATCTGTTTTCATAAACAAATTTACTGTATACAAACTGATTCATCTATTATACAAAAATGAAAAATTTTATGATTAAAAACAACAATAAATGGATAAGAAAAAATGTTTTTTTATTTAAAGTATTTTACAGACAATAGTTAAAAATTATTATTAAATATTTTACTGGTCAAGATTATATTTTATTAAAAAGAAGCTTTTTTCAAATTAATTATTAATTTTTGTGAAAAGAGATGTCGTGTGAATAAATAATTTAACATTATACCTGTATTGTATAAAAAAAATGCATATGTTGAAAATAATTTTTTAAGCCACAAAATGATTTATTGAATTGATAAAAAAATGTGTTGTGTTAAAATTCCCAAATTTAATCACTTTATACAAATTATTAATGGCTTTATGGCTATTCCCGTATTATGTATAAAAAGTAATATATTATTGTTTATTTTTATCATTGTTATTATAATAAACATTGAGTGTTTTGTTATGTTATCAATTTGTGTTCCTTATTTAAAAATTGTAATATTTAATTTTTCTATATAAGTAACAATAACAGAAGTATAAGTATACAAATTTAGTCCTAATGCAATAAATTTAAAAAATCCTTTTCCAATTCTGGTGAAAAAAAAAATTTATTTAAATTTAAAGATTCTAATGCAGTCGCATTCTTTGAATTTTCTTATTTAGAAATAACAATAACATGACATACAAAAATAAGACACTGTGACACGTATTACGTTTGTTTAATGATTAAACATTTACTTCTATTCATTAATTTTGCCGTAACAATTTGCAGCTAGGGAACTTGTTGATAAACTTTATTTATATTACTAAAAGAAATAATTTATTATTATAATAATTTAATATTTAGGAAGTAGTTTTAATGTTTTATGTTCAATTAAACATTTTTCAAAAATAACGTAAAGTCTTTTTGCATAATAATAATCTTTTGATGTACCAATATAAACATAAACTTATTATAATAAGGGGATCAGGATAAGTTAACCAAACTTAAATAATTTGTTAATACAGTATGATAAAAATCCTACATTACAGTAAATATTTACCATAGCGTTAGGATATTATTTATTTTAATCGGTAATAATTCATTTTTATAATACTTCATTTTTATTAACTATTTTACAATGAAACTCTAATTTCTATCATGTCACTCTTAAAAAAAATATCCAAAATTTTACATACATGTAAAATGTATGGGAAAATGTTGTTAAAAATGTTATATTGTATACTTTATGTCAAAATCACACTACTTGTGTGTAAAAGAAACGTAAAAATTAAAGTATCATAAAAACTACATTTTTGTACTGATTTCAAATCTGCAATTAGAATGTTCGTATCAACTTTTTTTTTAAGATTATTAAAAATTAGTAAGGTTTGCTAACGATATATTTTTGAATATCAAATACTGAATTTCAGCGATATTATATTGCAATATTGAAAAAAAAATTCTTTCTGTAATCGTATGAAAAAATAAATCAATATCGAAAACAAAATTATATTTAAAATTAAAATTTTAATTTTGAATGTTTTCACCATTTTTTTTTTTCAAGAATATCGTTAAGTTACCATCCTTATAAAAATCAGACTATGGTATACCATCCAAATCAAATAATGATATTAATATAAAATATATATAGATAATAGATATATATGAGATATAGCTATATCTCATAACGATAATCCAATATTTTTAAATTACTTTTTATTATGAAGAAATAAGTTTTTTATTCGTAATAAGACATTATTATACAGTGTTCAGTAAATAAGGGAAACAGGTAAATTGTTACAAACAATGAGAACAATAAAAACTCCTTTTCTTACTTACTGAACACCCTGTATATTATATGTTGCTTATATTTTAGCTTCGATGCGAAGCTGAGAAGGTATTGGTTTTACTAAGATGTGTTTTTTTTTTTTTTTGTGTCTGTTACCACTTTTTCTCAGCTCTCACCGAACCGATTTCTTTCAATGATACGTCAAAAGATCACAAATCGTATCTAGTCGAAGACATTACCCTTAAAAATTGAAAAAAATTCCCTCGTTCCCCGTAAAAGGGGGAAACCTCCAAAAAAATTACAAATTTAAAAATCGCTAATTTTCGAAATTTTTTCAATTTTTTTTACTTAAAAGTGCCATAACTTTTTCAAAAATAAACATATCAATATAATTCTTTTTTATATAGATGCATAATATCATTACCTTTCATTTGGTATATTTTTTTCATAAATTTAACCCTTAACCTGCCCACAAGGGGGGATTTAAAATGACAACTTTTTCACAAAAAATTAATTTTTTTAACTTAAATTTTGAAAATGTTCCGGAAGGTCTGACACTTTTATATATATCTTAAATTAAAGCTAATGTAATATGCTTTATCATGAAAAAAAAAAATTTCGGACTTTATCTTATCTTCATGGTGAAAATGGCTACCGAATGCTATTTTTGTGTGAAAATTTTCGATTTTGTATTTTCCATTTTTAACTTTATTATGCTATAACTTTTTGAAAAATGTATGAATCATTACAATTTTTTTATGAGAAGTAGTATTTATATAGATCTTTCATTCGACATACTGTTTTTTTAAATCGGACCATTTCCCTAAATACAGGGGGGATTCAAAACATAAAAATGCATATAGAAAGTAGAACTTTTTCAACGTAACTTTTGAAAGTGTTCCGGAAGGTCTGACACTTTTATATATATCTTAAATTAAAGCTAATGTAATATACTTTATAATGGTAAAAAAAAATTTCGGACTTTATTTTATCTTCATGGTGAAAACAGACATTAAACTTAATAAAAAAAATACGATTTTTGTAAAAAAATTCTTTTTTATATTTTTAACTTTATAATGCTATAACTTCTCGAAAGATGTATGGATCAATATAATTCTTTTTTTTGTAGATGCATGATGTCTTTACCTATCATTTGGTATATTTTTTTTATAAATCTGACTTTTTACCTGCCTACAGGGGGGGATTCAAAATGACAACTTTTTCACAAAAAATTGACTTTTTCAACTTAAATTTTGAAAGTGTTCCGGAAAGTCTGACACTTTTATATATATCTTAAATTAAAGCTAATGTAATATACTTTATCATGGAAAAAAAAAATTTCGGACTTTATTTTATCTTCAAGGTGAAAATGGCTACCAAATGCTATTATTGTGTGAAAATTCTCAATTTTATTTTTTACATTTTTAACATTATAATGCTATAACTTATTGAAAAGTGTATTGATCAATATAATTTTTTTATGGGAAATACTATTTTCTAATAATCTCTTTTTTATTCGACATACTTTATCTTAATCCGGATATTAATAAGGAACTAGTAGTTAAAGAAGCTTTTGGAATAATCCACCAATTTTTTAAAATTAAACACTATCTAAAGATTTGCATCGAAGCGTTTTTTTTTGATAGTGATTTTAATCACTGTCAGATATCATTATACTTGATCCAACTATGCCACGTCACCACTGTGCCGCGACCCCCCTGTGCTGGGTTTTTTTTATTCCTTTGTCATAACTGAAAACAAATTTTCTTCTTTTCAAAATTTCAAAAACTTACAGAATAAAACATCATCACCTGCATCACTATGGTCTAATAAGAATTTTTTTTGGGGGGGCTTAATAATTTCATTTTATTTATCAGATTGAGTTTTAACCAGTTGTTGCTGTATATCTTCTAATTTTGACATTTCTTTCTCTAATTCTTCTCGTACACCAAGAGAAAAACCTCGATCTATATGATAAATTCATTGTTCAACTTGATAAATACATCATTACTATTGAATCAATGATATATTTATCAATATGATATTTTTTTTTCTTGTCTTGAACAATAATTATTTATAAGAATAGTTATTTTGTTCGTATTAATAAAACATTATCATAAACCCTTGATAAAATTTCTCTTTCAATTTTGATTGAGGTTTTTCTTTGGGTGTACATTACTTTGTTCATGTTTTGTTAAAAATAGGAATAACAACAATGTCATAATAAAAAACCTAATTTAAGATTTGAATTTTGTATCAATAAATATCATTTTTCGTGTTATTTCAAATCTATATTTAATAATATTAGGGTAACTGTAGCCGTTTGATGATACTAAGTTTCATCAACCGTTACCAGAGTGCACTGCAAAGAAATACGCTTCTTCGCAGTGTATAAGAAGCGTATATGGGGTGCATTCCGTAAAAAAAAAGTAAATAATAAGAGAAGAGGAAAAAAAATAAAAAACATACCATTATATTTTATCAATTTACAGTTACCAAAAACTATTCATGTTATTTAATTTTAATATTAATATTACAGATTTTATTTGCTTGTATACCATAAAATAATAATAATTGAAGATATTTATTTCAATACAATACAAAAAAAAAATAGATTTAAATGAAATTTTGAATTTTCCGGATAAATTTTCTATAAATAAAACTACAAAAATTCTCATAAAATTTTATATTTAATGATGTGAATTTTAAACTGACAAGTTGAGTTAAAAAAGTGTTTAAAAGTTCAACATTTTTAAATTATAAACTTTCATAAAAATACTTTAAAGGATCAAAAAAATATGTTAAGCATGATATTTAAATAAAAAATTTTTTAACATATGCAAAATCAATAATAACTGAATAACAAACTTATTTTGTTTTATTATATGAAAATACTTGTTTTCTAATTAGTAATAATCTAATTCCAGATTTGAAATCAATGTAAAAATTCGGTTTAGCAAAATATATTTTAGTCTATGATCATTAAAAAATGTTTCATTTTAGAGATGTGATTTTAATATTTCGTGACTACAAGTTCAACTAGATTAAAATCTATAAAAAAAATATTTTCTAATCATTCTTTTTTTAAAAAGTTATGATAATTTTAAGTAAAAAAAGTCGAAAATTATTGATTTTTTAACATTTTTCGGGGGATTTATCCTATTTAGGAGGTATAAAAAAAGTTTTTTCAAATTTTGAGGTATCATGTCTTCAATTAGATATTTTTTAGAAGCTCAAAAATTGATAAATATTTTACAATTTCTACAACTCTTAAATTTAACTGTTTTTTTAGTACCATCATATAATGATAAAATAATCTAAGAAATTTTGATGATTTAATAGAAATGTTTTTTGTAAACTCTCAAAAATAAAAAATTAACGAGAACAGTTTTAAATGGATTTTTTAATAATTTAATTTAACTTAAGAGACGCAAGTTTTTCGCATACAATGTATTTATGTGTGTTTAAATTATAAATCAGCCAGTGTTGGGAAAGTTCCTTTTTAAATGGAATTCGTTCCGTTCCCCGTTCATTTTCTAAAATATGAACTCGTTCCAGATCCTAATTCTTTATATTAAGAAGGAACTTGTTCCAGATCCAGTTCCTCCAAAATAAGAACTCGTTCCACTCTTCGTTCCTTTTATAAGTTATTTAAAAAATTGTGGCAATGAGATCATGATAACGGTCATCAATGATTTTCATCAGCAGTCGAATACAAAACAAATTTGTAGTATTCCTTATCTAAAAGTATTCGAAAATTATATTTATAAGCAGGTAGTAAATGCTAACGACTTGTGTCAACGCGACCAATGTCTATTGTCTACATATAAGTTAGAAATAATAAATCAGAAAACCCAAAACCTTTAACATAAATTAGTTAACAAGAAACGACGATAATATTCGGTGCATTATTTAATATATGTACACATATATTAAATATTTACTGTATACCTACATGTGATAATAACTCTATCTATAATCAATTGATTCATTTAAACAGCCTACGATCTCGGCTGGGTATATAGGGGACTTCCATTGTCAAAAGTCAACTAAAAATACCATAATATTTTAATGTCTAGATACGAAGAAAACTACACTAAAACATGTTTATAAAAAATTTTAGGAACTGTAATTTCCGTTCACGTTCCTTAAAAAATGGAATTTGTTCATTTTCCTCGTTCCTTTATTTTAAAAGGAAGCAGTTCCTAGCATCGTTCCTTCAAAAAGAACTCGTTCCAGGAATCCGTTCCTTCTCAACACTGAAATCAGCTAATATAAAAATACCTAGGTCTTTAATCGAGTCAACTGATTTTAAAGTAATATCAATTATATTATAGTACGATTGTATTGTTTTTTTAAACAAGAAAATCATACAACAGCACTTTTATTTTAATTAAAAAACAAACCATTTAAGTTACACCAGTTACGAAATGTAATAAAAGATTTTAGTCAGCTACAATATCATCTTTTGAGTTTATTTGCATTAACATTTTCATATTGTCGGCAAATAAGAAGAATTTACACTACTAAAAAAAATGCAATAAATCATTTACAGATACAAGAAAAAATAAAAGAGATAACTGGCAATTCGATGGAACACCCATATTTTTATTTTTTTAATCCTATCCTCTAAGCAGATAGCCGCAAAAACATATATGCTTTAAGAGATTCTATGAGATTACTTAATCCAAGTTTGTGTAATTTAGTTATTAATAGTTTGTCGTTGACTTAATCGAAAACTCTAGTAAATCTATGTAATTTGTATAAATGGCGTCAACCTAATCAAGCTGAGAAGGTATTAGTTTTGTGATGGAAAGCGTTTTTTTTAAGTTGTGTCCATTAAAATTTTCAGTTCTCACTGAATCAATTTTAATACACAATATTTTAAAAGAATTTGATTTAAATCTACTTGAACCCTAAGTGTCAAAAATTGGCATTTTTTAGAAATTTTAGAAATAAATTTTTGAAGTTAAGAAAATATTTCAAAATTACACTACCGTAAATATGAAATTAAAAAAAAATACTGCATTATAAACTGAAATAAATTTAAAAAAAAAACACTAATCCTAATAAAATTTATTTATTCTTACTATAAGCAATAAATTAATTGTTATATATTCATTACTATTCATGAAAATCAAATGGAAAAATTTTTAACTCAATTTTTGAAAATTTTCTGGAAGATTTAACAAATTTTAATATATATATAATTAAAGTTTTTGTAGTGTATTACAATATTACAAAAAAACAATCAGCCGTCAAAGCAAAAAAAAATTATTTACATACATTTAATACCTAAGTGATATTTAAATAATAAAAATGATTAAAATACAAATTGTTAAATTTAACAAATTAGCATCAAAGCGTTTTTTATAACATTGGTATATATACTTATCCCCAACTATGTCGCGAACCTAGTGTACTGGGTTTTGTTTTTTTATGTAAGACTATTATTTTAAGCCAATTATAAGTTATTCACTTCACAAAAAAACACTAAATAAAAGTAAATTGTTTGAACGATTTTATTAGTTCACATAAGTTATAGATTAGTAAATATTATTTCAGTTATCATTGAAAATATGAATTTATAAGCAATGAACTTAATGTAATACGAAACACTTAAGGTATTGATATTATTCAATTATTTGAATAATTAACGGCTATAATAAGCGGATAAAACTCGATTTCTAGTGTCAACAACTAAACGTTAAAATTCAATTCGTCGAGTTTTTGAATAATATTAATGTTTTATATTGATAAAATTATATTTCATATTTAACCGCCTTCCGGTAGCGTTCATCAATAACCTCACAAAATATCTATGACCATATGTTAAAACGATTGACGAACGCCGGTTCATAGAAAAATCATCAATAGGTAATGAATACTCATATCCGCCATTTACAGGAACTATAATCATAACTATTAAAACAGCCGGACGTTTAATGTTGTCATTTAATAATATGGGTATAAAATTTCACATAATTTTCTACTCCAAGAGGACCTTTGCGAAACCAAACTTATTAGCAATTTTGATTGGTTATTAACGACCAAAGCTTGCTGTGGTCACCAATCATCGTGCGCGTAACGTTTATCGCGGCAACTGTAGCGGATGGTCAACAGTCGCACCAACACACTCGATTAGTAGACGGGCGGCAGCGACGACGACGGCGCTCACCACCGGGGACGCACGATTAAAAGGGCATACTTGTACACACACAGATACAGGCATTTCTCTCTGCGTGCGAGAAACACACGGTGTATACGTATACTTTTTTTTTTTACATGTAACTACAACATTTTTCTGCGTCTCTCTCCGCCTTGCCTCACTATCATTTGACTTTTTTCTCTCTTTAACAATTTGTACATCTCACTCACTCGCAAATCACTCTGTTTTTCTCGAGCAGTTCTACATTGCAATGTTTCGTCCCGTGCTGCGTTTAAACGTCTCGCGCACCATCCCGTTCAACGATCTCCAACAAACCGGCCGATTGTGATACACGAAAATCATGGAATGATAGAGCAAAACGTTGTACCGGACCTCCACCGACATGGACAACACTACACAGGTACACTAACAATAATTAACATTCATCATCGGCCACCTGGCCAACGACTAGGTCAACGTTTGAAATATGACCCATAGCAGTCTTTTGTATTAGTCTTTAGAAATACTTAGATCATTACACGTGGTGTAAATATTAAGCATAATGTCCAGGCCCTTACGACAAATTTTATGAAATCCCCTTGTGTTTAGATCACATTTTTATAATTCATTAGAGTTACATTGTTACCTTCTCCTTAAAACTGTTAAGATAAAGTTAAAAACTTTTAGAAATTTCTTGTAACATATGGATAACACGTTTTAAAGTACAGTATCATTAGATGTTTGTTCATACATGAGGCCTTAGGAGTTATTCAGCTACTTAATCCAGTACTTTTTGAGGTTATGTATCCGGTGCATATTTGGTAAGGGCGATAGCTTGGATATGTTACAAACAAAAATTCCATAACTCCTAGAAGCAATTGTAAAGTTTCAAATGGAATTATTTAAATTAATTAAGTTGTTCGAGATAATTTTTTATAATAAAATTATTGAACCCTTTTAAAATACTATTATTGTCGAAAATACAATTATAAATTATACAAATTTTTTTAATCAATAATTTTAAGATAGTGATATGTCCAATAAAAAAATATTTATACCCCATTGATCTAAGTATATCTTTTTTTTAACCTTTCATTAAATGTTATCATTCAAGTTCATATTAACAATAAAACAGTTATTAAAAAATAGTTTCATATATTTCTTAATTTTTTTTTTTTATATCGTTAGTTAGATAATTTATTTTATGTTATGTTATTAGTATTTAAAATTGATATTTGTAATCAAATTTTTATAATTTATATTTTTTAATTTTTAGTGCATAAGAGAAATATTTTTTACTTCACCTGATTATTAATAGTTTTTGACTGTAACTTTAAACATTAAATTTGTTAGATACAAATATTTATTTTCCACATTTGAGTCAGCTAGTAATAAACTTATAATTAATTATAAGCGTTACAAAAGTGGTACAGTAAGTTATACTATTATTGATGAATCGTTTTGATACATCAAATTGTAATAGATTTTCAGACAGTCGATTTTACTTTTTTGTAATAAGTATAATCAGAATAATGAAAATTACAATTGTTAAATATTATATTAATAGACTATGAACCTATTTTAATAAATACTTGTAGAATAATTCTATAAGTAACTATTAAATATTATACATCTTTCATCATCTATTACAAATTAGCTATAACGAGATATTGAATATCAAGTCATATGACGCATCTTAGAATATCTTTATAAAAACTAATGAATGTGTAAAGGTTTGTTTACGAACAATGAACTAATAAACAAAATTTAGTGTATTGATTGATTACAACAAACTACTACTTCTTAAATTATTTAATTATTTGCATAATCCTGTTAAAGAATAGAGTTCATCATTTTTTTTTTATTAATTCTTTTAAAAAATGTTACATTGTGATGAATTTATCCAGTATCATTTGTTTACTAATTAATTAGGTTTTTCTTATTCACTTTCTATTAAATATTCTCTTCCTTAAAATTGTTTAAACTTCTCAAATTAAATTAAAAAAAAAAACAAGAGCCCTTCTGAATTTAACATTTTATTCTAAAATGATTTTTGAAAACAATCATTTTTTAATTTTTTTAAGGAAATTGGATTCTTTTAAAACATTTTTTGTACTTAATTCAAATTACTTGATCATTTGTTATAATTTTACACAGATATAAACTAGTTATACAATTTAGTTTTTACCCCATGAAAAAAGTTTCTGTCAAAATTACAATTTATAATAATTCTTTTAAGTACTTTATATAGTATTTATAAATGTTAAAAAAAAAAAAAATTATAAACAGGTTTTATGTATCATTTATTTTTATTTTTATTTTATTTTATTTTTCAATATTTCCACTTTGAAGTCAGCTATTTGTGATAATTATTTGCAAATGAGCGTTACAAATGTGGAAAATTAAATTATTTCAAATTAAAACTATTGTTTTGATAGTTTTAAACTGAAGAGATTTTTTTAACAGTCGATTTTCACGTTGGTGTGATTATCAGAATCGAAAAAATTATAGTTGCTCTATTAGTTAACAGTAATATTCACTATCATATATTTAATTTTATTATTTACCTAACAATTTTATTGCCATGGTTATTTTAAACTTGTATCAACCCTAGAAATTTAAAAATATTTTTATTTTGATAATTTATAAAAATAAGTTAATGTTTGGCTCTAAAATGCTACCTTATGTAATAAAAAATATATATTTATATTTTATTATAACTTTTAAAAAATAATAAATAATATTACGATTTTGTTTTAATTGACTATTTATGAAATTTTAATTATTGATTAATGTTTATTTTAGGAATTTGAGTTTCTTGACTTCACAGATATCAATGACATGGAACGTGGTCGGTTGCTACACATGCTCTATTCCGCACGTAACGAGTCATGGGTATCTGGACAAGATGGATTCAAACACCCTGACTTTCCTTGGACATTTAGAGGCAACCAACAACAACCAACTCCTCAACCTGATGTGAACGAAGTGGGAAACATTACACATATAGCTGACTGGAATACTGCAGCTGATGAATATGGTATGTTTTGTTTAACAACCCGTTTAATGTGTATGTTATTATTCAATTTTATTTATAGATAGTGGTCATCCAACAGTAAATGGTGACGGAGAACCAGAGAATCAAGTTATAATGAATGGTGGTAATTTTGTCCCTGGTCCTCCTCAGCAAGTTTACCAAATGGTACCAAACCCACCAGTTTACATGGGAAATGTACCTCCTCCTGTACATGGATATGTTCAGTCACCAATGTCTCCATATCAACAACCGATGTATCCAGGTCCAGAACCACCTATGGACCCTAATCACAGACGACCAAATTTATCAAGGAATGGAAAAGGTATTCCTCCACCAAATGTGAAACGAAATAATGATATGGGATATCGGCATCCAGAAAACATAGAAATGGCTAACTACCAAACACCACCTGCATATATTGCAGTTCCACCACCACATTATTACTATTCTCCTCAAAATAGTCCTTTGTATTTACCTCATCATGGACATCCTACTTATCCAATGTATCCCCATCCACATCCAGGTATGTATAATCCATATCCACAACCAGGTCCACCTATGTTTCACTCACCTCCAGCTGGTCAAGTACCTCAACAACCACTTCTAGTCGAATCATGCAAACCCAATATCAATCCAATACCACCTGTACATAGTATTTATCCTCAAGTACCAGAAAACATTGTTGGTGATTCACCTTTAGATTTAGAAATGTTATCTTCAATTCCTCAAAGTGAAGAAATTCACCAAAACTTAGAGCATGTTAAAATTGAAGATGCCCATGACACCAAATCAGTTGAACTTTTAAAAGAAAATCAACAAGTTGGTTTGGAAGAAATTTCTTCAAATGTAGAAAATATTGCATTAAATGAAATTCAAGAAAAAGTTAAAGAACATCCTGTAGTTAACAAAAGTAAAAAAAAAAAGGAAGTTCCAACTAATGGTTCATTAAATGTAGTCCAAGATAAAAAAAAAACAGAAAAAGAATTTACATCTATTCCAGCAGGAAAAATAAACCCAGAATCTAATAAAAGTCAAGATTCTTCCCAGCCACCTATTCCATCAGTTAAACTTGAAGTTGTGGAACCTGTAGCTACCAAGCCTGTTGCTAAAACTTGGGCAGGACTATTCTCTGGTTGCCCTAGTACTAGTGATAATAAAGTTTTTACACTGCATGGTAGCAGCCAACCAGTTTCTAGCACCAGTCAAACAGAAAACATAGTGATGCCAACTAGAAGTATTCCAGAGAGTACTGTAAGGTCAACAGTTTTTGTCACTAATAATAATCAGAAGCAACCTACTCAGCCTAAACCTAGACCTTCAAGTAGTAATTCTATATCAAGTATTGATGAAAATTCAACTTACATGCTAAGATTAGGTGGTAAGTTCTGTTAGATAAAATAATACTTAGATTAAATTATTTTTTACAAATATCATTTAAATTTTAGAATTTCTCTCTGGTTATAATTTGGATCACAAGACTGTTAATTTGCAACCACGTGGACTTATAAATCGTAACACTCGTTGTTATATAAATGCCACTTTACAAGCATTATTGACATGTCCTCCATTTTTCAATCTAATGAAAAGTGTACAATTCAAATTAAAGAATCGAAGTAATCGCGTTACGCAAAAGTCATCAACTCCAATCTTAGAAAGCATGTAAGTGTATAATTACTTGTTATTAAAAGATAATTAATAACTTGATTAATTTGATTTTATTGAAGTATTAATGTTTTTATAATAATAATATACCCATTAGATTAAATTTTTATGACTACAATCTTTTAATATCATTATGAACAACTGAATTACCTACAAAAATAAAGTAATATTAAGAATTTCTTTTTCTAATTTTTTGGATTACATATTGTAATTGGACTATTAATACATTTTATTAAAGAAATACTTTTAACTGCTTCAAAAATTGTATACTAGTTGCTTGTTTTTATGTCAGTACAACTATGAACAAGTTTTGAAGTTACTAAATTTTTTATATTTGGACTCTTTTAGTAATGTTTTAATTAGATAACTTCCTAATATATAATTAAGTTATGTATGTTATTATCAAAAAAATATATATTTTCAAAACTAGTTTTGTTTTGTAAGTATTCATATATTAGAATCATCTGATATACTTGATATTTGTACTAGTATAATGCAATGTTATATTAATAAAATTATCAATTTATAATGTTAAATCAGTTATTATTTAACCTATTTTAATTTAATTTATTTTTACAGAGTTCAGTTTGTTGGTGAATTCCAGCAGTTGGGTATCAAAAATGGGAGGACTACTCAACAACAGCGACAAGCATCTTCTGTCTCTACTCAAGATGTTCCTGATGTTGGCTCAGCTTTTGAACCAAGTTATGTGTATAAGATACTTCCTTCCTTTGAAGAAGGTCGTCAAGAAGATGCTGAGGAATTCATGAGTTATCTTCTTAATGGCATAAATGATGAGATGATTGAAGTAAAAGTTTTCTCTAATTTTATTAATATTACTACTACTATAATTTTTTTGTAATATACTTGAAATTTAACACATAATATTTTTTTTTAGTTGATAAAATTAAGCAAATCCAATGTTAGCAATGGTGAAGCACTTTCTGAAACTGAAGGCATTGATAATAATAATGAATGGAAGGTAATTGATCATAGTTTTATTGTTAAACACATATGTCGTATTACCACATTTTTTACCTTACAGGAAGTAAATGGTAAACACAAGATGGTAACAAGAAGAACAGTTCTTGAAAAAACACCATTATCTGAAATATTCCGTGGACAATTACGCACGCGAACTGTTAAAAATGGTGAAAGTGAACCAACAGAAAATATTGAACCTTTTTTCACTCTTAAACTTGATATTGAAGTAAATTTTAATGAATTATTATTTATTCTATTATTTAATTATATACATTTTTATTTATGTTTAGAAAGCTAAATCAGTACGGGAAGCATTAGACATGCTTGTTACAAAAGATACTCTTGAAGGCTTTACATGCCCCAAAACAAATCGTGAAGTTGATGCTTATCAACAAGTTACTATTGATGAGCTACCATATGTTTTACTACTGCACCTAAAATGCTTTGAATATAAACAACAGAAAATGACAAAAATAGTTAAAAATGTTGATTTTTCTGTAGACCTTAAAATAGAACCAAGTAGGCAATACATTTTTAGCAAATATAATAATAATAGTGATTCCATAATTTTTTTTTTCAAATCTGTTTTATTTATTGATTTGGTTAAAAATTGTTGGGTAAATTATTTAGACTCATAAGAGTAGTATTTAAAATAGTCTTTTTTTTTCAAATGCTTAGTGTTGAGTCAAACAAAACAAGATTGTAATATTTGATCAAATAACTTGTTACAACTTGGGTCGTTTTTAAATATTAATTTAACTTTTTTTGTTTTTTCAATCCAAAGATTGGTTTTTAACAAATGTTTTACAATAAATGGCTTCTCCATTTTTCTCTATCATTCGCCATAATCCCTGTAGGAAGTGACTCCTGCATCCTGCATTATTTGGCTAATGTACCTTGTCCTAAGTCTTCCCCTTGATCTTGTACCTTCTATCATTCCTTCAATTATTAAACTATGCAATTTATCTCCATGCTTCAACGTGTGTCCTATCATCTGCCATCTCTTTCTCTTTATAATATCAATCAGTGTTCGTTTTTCATCTATTGTCCTCAGGATGTTTTCATTTGATCTTTTATCAGTCCAGCTTATTCTCTGCATCTTTCTCCAACACCACATCTCCAGAGCTTCTAACATATCTTTTTCTTTCTTATTAATTGTTCAGGTTTCACTTCCGTATAATGCCACACTTCAGGCGTATATTTTTATGAGTCGTTTTTTCATTACTATGTTTATATTTGATGTTAGTATTTTTCTCTTTTTAAGGAATGTATTCTTTGCTTGACCTATCCTGCTCCTGATTTCCTTGGTTGATTTATCGTCATCTGTTATAATGCTGCCTAAGTATTTGAAATAGTCTACTTGGATAATTTCTTTATTTTCTAATATATATTTTTACATATGGTATGTCTTTCTTGCAGCATACTAGGGCCTTGGTCTTGGCTACATTTATTTTCAGACTATATTCTTTGAGCATAGTATTCTTTACATCTAACGCTGCTTGTAAGTCTTCCTCAGATGTTGCAAGAACGACTATATCATCAGCGAAGCAAATCATTGTTATTAGTACCCCTCCTATTTTCACTGCAATTCCTTTTTGTTTTAACCAAAGTTTTATGACGCTTATTGCTTTTTCAATAAATACATTAAAAAATGCAGGTAAAAGTGGGCACCCTTTTCTCACCCCATTTTGGATTATGGCAGTCACTGTTGTTGTATTAATGTTAAAAATGGTTTCTTGTTCTTCATAAATCTTATAGAGAATACGTCTGTCTTTAAAATCTATCTCTGTTTCTTCCAAAATTTTAAAGAGTTAATTAGTTAAAATTAATTTAACTAATAAGCAAAAATAAAATGTATTTAAATGATTTTTTGAGAACTATTTCTACACCTCAATATTATTTTAACCTGAATTTTAATTAATATTGTCCTTGAAATAAAGTCATATTTTCAATTTCTTAATTTACTGAAGTTTTATAATTCCTTTAAACAAGGAATGTGTTTGTTGATTATAACATTTTAATATTTTTTTATAGAGTTGATATCAAAGAATTCAAAGAATAGTTTGAAGACTCGACAATACAAACTTTTTGCTGGTAAGATATTTAATAATACTTAAATATATGTATTATAGTAGTTATATTTGTTACTAGATAATTACTCTTGTATTAAATAATGATTTTTCATTTTGATTATAAGTTTTAGTAATATCGATAAGCTACTAAATGTTTATTTATTTCTACATAAAATTTTTAATTAAAAATTCATTCTAAAATAATCTTATCCCATTTTATTTAACCTGAAATGTGTTAAACCTTATATTTTTTGTAATCTACTTGGTCCATGACCTCAAACTATATTGTATTTAATTTAGCTTGTAGGAAATATTGATCCTTGACTTATGTTCGTCAATTTTTTGTTTTAGTGAAACCCCATTTTATTTAAGCCGGCTCATTAAACTATTTGTTGTTTGTTTAGTGGGTGTGCAAAAGATGGGTATATAATATTCAGCTAGTGTGTATGGAATTTTTCTTAAATTGAATTGTTCTAAAGATAACGCTGAAATAATTTAAGTGTATTTAGTTATTAAATATTAAACCCCGTTTTATTTAAGCCGGCTCATTAAACTACTTGTTGTTTAGTGGGTGTGCAAAAGATGGGTATATAATCTTCAGCTAGTGTGTATGGAATTTTTCTTAAATTGAATTGTTCTAAAGATAACGCTGAAATAATTTAAGTGTATTTAGTTATTAAATATTAAACCCCGTTTTATTTAAGCCGGCTCATTAAACTACTTGTTGTTTAGTGGGTGTGCAAAAGATGGGTATATAATCTTCAGCTAGTGTGTATGGAATTTTTCTTAAATTGAATTGTTCTAAAGATAACGCTGAAATAATTTAAGTGTATTTAGTTATTAAATATTAAACCCCGTTTTATTTAAGCCGGCTCATTAAACTACTTGTTGTTTAGTGGGTGTGCAAAAGATGGGTATATAATCTTCAGCTAGTGTGTATGGAATTTTTCTTAAATTGAATTGTTCTAAAGATAACGCTGAAATAATTTAAGTGTATTTAGTTATTAAATATTAAACCCCGTTTTATTTAAGCCGGCTCATTAAACTACTTGTTGTTTAGTGGGTGTGCAAAAGATGGGTATATAATCTTCAGCTAGTGTGTATGGAATTTTTCTTAAATTGAATTGTTCTAAAGATAACGCTGAAATAATTTAAGTGTATTTAGTTATTAAATATTAAACCCCGTTTTATTTAAGCCGGCTCATTAAACTACTTGTTGTTTAGTGGGTGTGCAAAAGATGGGTATATAATCTTCAGCTAGTGTGTATGGAATTTTTCTTAAATTGAATTGTTCTAAAGATAACGCTGAAATAATTTAAGTGTATTTAGTTATTAAATATTTAACCCCGTTTTATTTAAGCCAGCTCATTAAACTATTTGTTGTTTGTTTAGTGGGTGTGCAAAAGATGGGTATATAATCTTCAGCTAGTGTGTATGGAATTTTTCTTAAATTGAATTATTCTAAAGATAATACCATTATGTTTATATTTTTTTTTTCTTGTGTCAAATATATGAATTCAAGTAATATATATTGTTTTAGTGGTTTATCATGATGGAAAAGAAGCAACAAAAGGTCACTATTTTGCTGATGTGTTCTATGTAGCGTTGGGTCGGTGGTTACGGTTTGATGATGCAACTGTTAGATTTGTGACTGATAAAGAAGTATATCAACCAAAACCTCCATGCATGCCATACTTGTTGTATTATAGAAGAAATGACACTATTGCTGCACTATCTGCATTTGACAATAAAAGCAGATAAATAGTTTTACATACACTTGTGGTATGTATTTTTGTACTCTGTGAAATATTGAATAATGAGAATATATTTTGTATAAGTTAATTTTGTTGTATTATTATTTTTTAGATATTAAAATGTCAAAATGCAAAAATACCTAGTGAGCCATTGGATCATTAGGTATTTATATTTTTTAGTTGGCCTCCCTAGACATTGGGTAGTATTTAATTTTTTCTGTATGTGGAAGCAAACGCAGGGTTATCTTAAACAACAAATATATTTTTATTTATTTATGAAATAAAATAGTAATTAATTATGAATGCTAATAATTGTCTATCATTGACAATTTTATATTTGTCTTCTTTTAAAAGTACTATCAAATTTATTTTAAGGATTTATATATTATAACATTGGCAACATGTTTAGGGGTGTGTTAACGATTAAGTAAAACAATTTGGTTTATTTTGTTAGTGCATGGCATTTGTAAAATATTTATAAATATAAATGATACGAGACTAAAATTATTAATTTTTATTAACTCATTTATTTGTTAATATAAATACATTTTTAATCAATATTTTTTCTTCTGTAAAGTATTAAATTATGTTTGTGTACATAAAAATTTAATTGTAAAGTATAGTATCTTAGAAATTATTGAGTCATGGTTGATTTTTATAATTAATAAATAAATGAATGTGTATAATAATGATACTGAAGTGAAACTGAAACAATGATATAAATGTTCATCAACCACTTATTAATTTATTAATCTATTTTTAAATAACTTCAATTTTTTATGTTATTGAGTATATATGCTTATTATAAGTATTTTTTTTCAAAACTAAAGTCTCAACCCAAATTTATTGTTTTATTTTCATTTTTCTATTATGTTTATACATATTTTTTATTGAATACCTAGATGTTTTGATTGCAACTATAGAAATATTTATAATTACCACCTACACATGTAAATGTCATTTATAATTTTTTAATCATTACAGTTATAAACATTATACATTATGTTTAATGGGTTATTATTTTTGTGTATTTTTTTTTGTGATTCTTGTATCATCTTAAATCCTTTTTACTATAATATTAGTAATACTTCTCTATTGATTATTTCTAATCAAATATTTAAAGTCAGTTATTCTTACGAAATTCATTAATAGTAATGTGAAGATTTGTTTATGTTGTAAAATTATTACTGATTTTTTATGAGTGTTAATGATATTTGTAACAATCAAAAATTGAATTAAGTTCAATTTTTCTCATTTTAGTCATGATACTCGGTTTCCTAACCTCGAACGATGGTCATCTATGCTAATACCTTCTGTCAAAATATCCAAGATCTGCCACTGTATCGAAATACAAACTATTCTTCAAATACATAGTGTCTCAGACCTAGAAACTTTGATAATTCAATCAAAAATATTAAAACTGAGTTACATAAAAAAAGTCAACAATAAATATAGCCGTTATTTATTTATTTAAGCGATATTTTCCAATCAAAATATTAGAAAATTATATGCAATTTAAATACAAATTTTAATGAGCTCTTCTGTTTATTTTATTTTTTTTTTTCACAAAAAAAATGTGCCAACAGTGTGAAGTTAAAGTTGAACCTTTCATATAGTCTTGAGAACACTACTGGAGTTTAATAGTCCTTAGTGAGTTTAACATTAATTGTATGCTAAGATAAGTTTTGATAACTTGTTCCAACCAACTTAACCGATGAATTATCGTGTAACGTAAATCTATGTTTATGATAAGTTATCTTAAAACTATGGTACAGCGTTGTTTCAGGTTAAAGTTAAAATTTTAGTACCAGGAGCTCATGAATATCGTTTGACTGAATTCATTGTTCCGTATCGCCTAACTAAATGATATTAGTATGCTTGTCTATGTTAGTGGCCACATAAAAGTCTAACTAGACACCATATAGTGTTCTATATGCAATACTCGCATATATAAAATCTTATACATTCCTGATATAAATTTTCTAATTTTTACCGATGTGAATAGTATCGATGCGGTAAAGTTGCGGGTCGTGGTGGCTCTTGTGGAGTCGTCCAGCTATATCGCAAGTTGGACACCTGAATTTATTAACAACCAGAAAAAGTTGCTGTGATTGGCCAATGGACACCGAATATGTGAACATATACACTAGTCATTATAGATTCTTGGTACTAGATTTTGATATTTGTTGTAAAATACTGATTTTGAGTTTTTTATTAATCATTGACTTATATTAATAAAGAAATGATATATATATCTTGTTTAATGTATTACAGTCGATATCCCCAAGATATTTTATGGTGAATTTGATTATTTTGTGTTATTCTATGTATTAATTTTGATATTTAAAGAATCGCAAAATAGTGTGGTTTTAAATATAATTCTGTAATAAAGCATTAAATATTTTTGATAAATCCTTTTAAAAGTTAGTTTCCTGAATTATTCTTCATTATTTATTTATCTAATTTATGTCTATGATAATAATTACACAAACTTGTTTCATGATAATAACTTATGAATTCTCGGAACAAAATTTTAATAAATTATAGTAAAACGTTGATTTTATAGAATTTTTTTCAATTCACTAATGGGTAAATTATTGTCAAAAATTTATTTGTTCTTAAACATTCAAGAACAGTTAATAAAATAAAACAAACAAAAAATTAAACTTTGTATAATTGCACTGATTATACACACCAGTAATAGGTTTTGAGAAAATTGCAGTGTCTCAAGTTTCTATAAGTTAATTATTATGGGTACACGAACTTTCAAGCTCCATTATATTGTATTTTCAATGTACACATACGTAAATTTGAATTGTTTGTAAAAATTTGCAATCAATTGTATGTTAGAATGTTATGAATTTTGCAATATTCAGTAAGAAGCATTACGAGACAACCAAGGGGCAGTGTATTCTTTAACAAATTGTTACCAATTAGTGACAATTCGTCGTTTATGCGACAAGAAATATTTAAAAATAATTTTTATAACATTAATAGCCAATTATGAAATGATGTAGTTATCTTTTTTTTTGTTAAATATGAATCGCCTAGTTGGAAAAAAAAACTCAAAAATTCATTGGCAGGTGTAGGAGAGAAATCTCCATGACTTTAAAATCCTATAAAAATATTAACAACCTCAAAGTGTTAACTCTAGTTAAGTCACTGGCCACAGTTGACTAAATCGATGTTCTACAAACCTTACATTTATTATCACCTGTTAGTCAACTATAGGAAGTCTGAACATAAAAATTTCTCTATCAAATTTTATATTTTTTTTAAATTATTAAAAATGAAGTTGATTTTTTTGTTAGATAAGGAGAAATTTGCATCTAAAGTACCGTATATACATATTTTTCATTGCAATCAGTCTAAACATATTTACAAAACCAATACAATAAAAAAATAAGATAACAAGTAATTTTTTCCCTTATAATAAAATTTTCACTATTCCACATTAATAGATAACAATATTTATTTTTATTATAAATAATATATATATAATTTGATATTCATTTATAATTTAAAAATAAAATAGTATATATAAAACTAAAATTACAAAATTACATTACAAGTTTGTTTAAGGTTCATCACTTTCTTATTATAAAAACTTGAATGTAACATATCTTTTACATTAATTGAAACCATATTGAGATGATAATACTTCTAATAAAACATTATTGTGAGCTACTGACATTCTACAAAGACAATTTTAATTAAAGTAATTACATAATCCTATATATAAAATATATAACATACAGTTTTAAAAGATTTTCTCTTTTTAAAATATCTTAATTCTACTAAAATACAGTTGACGAAGATCAAAAAACAAATTTTAACATTTTTTTATTTTCAACTTATAATTATTAAACTAAAAATGCAAAACAATACAATTCATTCATTGTAGAAATTAAATTATTAACTGTATACTTTTTTTGTCATTTTGTACTTTTTAAAATTAAATATAATATACAAACAGACCAAAAGTATTTAAAATATTTAAAAAATAGTTAATAAAAAGTTATATATGCAATGATTTTTAAAATATTTTTCTTTAATTTATAAAATTTGGTACTTGAAATTAAGGAAAACAAATAAATTGTTGATTTATTAATATATTATATCAAGTCAAAATTAAATATCTTATAAATAATTAAATTATTATATTAGCAGTTTTCAAAAGTAAATAAATAAAAAATACTAATTTAATATAAAAAAATGAGTGTTTCAACAGTCCAAAAATATAATATACCTCAATGAGTTAAAATGAAAATTTTCAGATGGAAAAAAAATTGTTAAGACAATGAATGAAAATTAAATTAACACAACAGTCAGAAAATAAAATTAATCAAGCCATAAACCAAATGAGTCTAAGTAGATGCACACGTGATTTCAAGCTCAATAGCTGGTTTAACAGTTTGACTTTGGTAAATACCATTTGGCATATATACAGCAAATCCACACTTAATCAGTTCATCGTTCACAGATAATGTCTAAAACAAATATAATAGATGATTAATTTATAATTAAACATTTTTTTCTATATAAATTCTTACTGTTAATCCATCAAATGCCAATAGGTTAACATATTGTACACTATCAGACTTGTAAATGACTTGGGCAAATAGCATTTTACCAGAGGTTAAATCTTCAAATATTTTAAGGGATTCTTCACACCATTCACCATAAGCTTTAAAAGAAATGAGCCATTAAAATTTGTATAAATATGAACATTTTAAATAAATACCTGGAGTAATATTAGCTAAACTACATTCAATTGCTTGGAAACTTAAAGTTATTAAAGAGTCATGCATTGGCCTCATATCACATTGGTCAATTTTTTTGCAACCACCATAATCTAAAAAGAACACATTTGCAGATTCATACTTCTTTTCATCTACATCCATCACTTGAGCTCGATACCAATTACCCTCACTATATGTAGCTACTACAGAACCTATAAATACAATTCATTATTAATATTTTTTTATAGTTACGTTAAACAAAATTTATTCATACCATGAGTAACTGTGCTTAGATCTACATCAGGTATTTCTTCTTTACTACTGCCATATGTATCATTCATTGCAAAATTCAATGATGAGAGTAAAGCATAGTCTGGACTGGATGCATTGTGTACAAAGAAATGATTTGGTGCAACAACATCCGTGATTATCACATGATTATTAACTCCTTCAATTAGTTCCGACTAATAAGAAAATAAATTTCAATTAAATTTTATTAGTAAAAAATTACTTTTTTATTTAAAAGTTACTTACTTTAAAGAGTTGAGAAATTAGAGGTTCCATCATAATTGGAGTTACGCATTCCAATGTAAACTCTGGATATGCTCTTTCTGGAAACTTATTTCTTATTAATTTTAATGCTTTATTTATATTTATTTCAGAACCTAAAAAATGTTCAAATCATAAAAATAAATATTATATTGTTTTAACAAAATGTAATTAAAAATAAAATATTTACCAATCAAAGTACACATCTTGTATTTATCTTCAGGACTTTGCGTTTTGTTTTCAACAAAAAGCCTAACATTACTCTTTTCTTTAATATATTTAACAAATGCCCCTTTTTTTCCAATAATAGGACCAACTAAATCAATTGGAACCATAAAATCATAACTAATTTGCTCGTCAGAATCTGATATTGTTCTTAACTCGCCAGATATAGAACTTCCACCTTTACCACTGTCTTGTGAGCCCTATTAAATATAATTCATTATATTAGATAGTTTATATTAATAAAATTGATATGATATTTTTAATGACAAAATATTAGAATGAAACTCACCTCGCTTCTTATATCTGAATAAATTGTATTTGGGGCATCATTGGTGTCAATACTATGATCTACACTATGAGCTGAATCACAATCTTCTTCAACTACTAATATAGTATTTTTTTTGGCTGGTTTCATACTGTTTGGTTTGTTTTTTAGTGATTCAGTAGATAATTTAATAGTATCCTTTGTTTGCTTCTTCTTACGGTTTCTTTTTTTTTTTCCTTTGAATTTTAAACCTTCAAATAACATTGGTTCTTCATCTTTTTTTCCTTTCTTAGCTACACTAGCTTTAGGACATTCACAACGATCTTCTTTCTCAACCATCTCAATCCAACATTCTTTTTCATCACTAGGTAATTCAAGTTGTTGGTTATTTAGAGGTTGTACATTACTTTCTACTGACTTATTTGAACCTGAATTTAAATTTATATTATTAAAGTCCGTCGTTAAGGATTCAACTTCATTATTCATTTTAAGGTTTGACTCTATGCACACTTGTAAGTTTAAAATTGTGTTCATTTCTTGTCGAACTGGGCTACAACAGTTTTCCACTTCTTTAATTTCAACTAGATTTACAGCAGGCTCCATGATTTCTTCATGAGCTAAATATTCTACACCAAAATCTTCTTCGACAATTTGTGTTGATAATTCTAGAGTACGAGAGGCTTTTTCCAATGCCTTTATTAATTCTTTATCGTCAATTTTTGTAAGTTCTGGAGATTCAGAACCTGATTTCTTATCGTCACTCAGGCGATGTGACAAAACCCTCTTGCGCTTGTACCAAAGATAACCGAGGTATAAGACGGCTGTCGAAAATGTTATAATACTCCCCAGCGATACAGTCCTCACCTTGAACATATCGTATGATATCCACTTTGAAACGAGTGTAAAACCTGAAAATAATGTTAAATTGTATTAGTTATTTATATTTGTAATAAAAATAAAATTAACTTATAACTTGTTAAAATCTAAATATTTATTTCTATTTTATAACTTATAAAAACTGGTTTTTGACGAAAATTCGGAAATAAACTAGGATTTACTGCGTAAGAATATTTAATAAAGTAAAATATTAATAAACTAAAATTTAAGGATATTAACTATTACCTCAACTATCTATTTACAAACAAATTAAATTATAATAAGCATTATTTAAATTACATTTTAATTTATTAACAACAAATGTACGACACTATTTTTTTTTTTTTTTTTTTTCAAATAAATAGTTTTTTGTTATTTTTATTTTTTGAATTTGTTCTGCAACAGCAAGTCCATTTAAATCGCGCATTTACCGTCTATGATTGCTGACACAGATGAGTTTCACAAAAATTACATCCGCCGAATAAAATTATTATTATTTTGCAGGTAATAACTAAACAACAATATGTCATAAAAAAAATGTTAACTAAACATTTTTTTACAAGTCGGATTACTTTTTGCTGTCGTTCAAATTATATTATGTAATACGATATGAACATAATTCGAAATACTTGTGACAAATAATAACTACATATAAACTACAATTTGCACAAAAATAATGAAGTACACACTATCAATCAAATTTAACTATTGAATACATATTTTTATGTGTATCTGATGTTCTAAAGCAACTTCTGTTGGTTGCTATGATTATTCTTCAATACTTTTAAAAGAAGAAATCAATTTTTTTTAGCGAAATCATGAACACGTGTAAAGATATTCAATCTCTTCTTAAGATAAATTTTGAACCGGCAAACGCTGACTACCGCAGCGCCACAACAGCAGCCCCACTCACTTAGGGCGATTACTGTACTGCGGTAGTGATTGTGTGTTAAGATGGAGAAAGAAATCGGACCGCATACCTGATCCTTTTTTTATACTATAAGACAGATTTAAAACAGTATCAACCGTCGAGTACATAGTGAGATATGTATAAACAGGTTTAGCCGGTTCAGTCAATATGCCTTATATGATTTTGTATTATGTGTTCTTCGCGTTCATGACGTGCGATTATATATATATATATATATATATATATATAATGGTCGATCATTGTACTAAAGACAATTCTGGTACAATAATGGGTCATGATCGAAAACTAGAGCCTCCTACACTACTGCAAAATGAAAGGTGTTTTTTCTTTTCTTCCGGCATACTCGTGGCAAAAAAAAATCTAATAATAATAGGCTGATAAGAATGACTTGGTTTCATGGGGATCATCGATTTTCTAATCAACGAAATTTTTTTTAAAAATATCTATCATATTACAAATACACAATATTAGCTAAGATATACAACATATGAAACGGACCAGAACTACAACTAAGAACAATATTTTTTATACCTGTTGAAAATTCACCTGTAAATCCTTTTTTAAGAGTACGTTATACAAAGAGAAAAAAGTTATATACATGTTTTGAGTGAAACAACTTTATTTGATCAGTATTGATGTCAGGAATCACAAAATGTTTGAAATCTAGCGTTTCTATTTTTTCGTTTATATAATTTCAATCATTTTATATTTACTAGTAATTTTAGTAAATTTCGTTATATTTTGGTTTTAAATTAATTTTGGAAAATAATGTTCAACAAAAAACTTTAGAATTGTGTCATAAAAATTGTAAAGATACTAAATCACAGGCAAATTACTTCTTTATAATTTGGTGAAAAATGAAGACTGGTGGTGGTAATACAACTTAATAAAAATTGTTCTGTGCAAAACGGTCTACACCCCTGACGAAGAGCGCCGTTCTCACTTTCTTATGGCCAACAAAAAAGGTTCCCCAAAAATAAATGTAAATGGATTTTAAGATTTGCCCGTAGGCCTTGACGAAAAAAATTGTTATTTTTTAAATTCAATAGACAATGGCATTTTAGATAGACTCCATCAATCGTTTAATTACAAATTATCTACTATATTGTTAAATCTTATTTTATACGTTAGAATAAAAATGAATTATTAGTTATAGATAATATAAGCAACAAATAATCAGAAACCAACTGTGATGGATACAGAAATTTATAATCGAGGGAGATAACACCATCAAAAATGTCTACCGGAAAGCACACTATCAGTCATAAACGTGTGAATTTTTTTAAATTCTGGTTAAATTCACAAATCATAAAAAAAATTTCAAAGCTCATTTAGAATGGCTATCAAACGTGGGAGGATTTTTAAACGGTGGAGAGTGAAATATAAATCAACAAAATTTTTGATGAATTTTAACAAGCCCTAAGCAATGAGAGAGAGGCCAATTTATAAAATCGATATTAATATTAAAAGATAAACTATTAACGAGCAATTCATTATTAATTATTTCATAATATGAGCTGTTTAATGGAATTACGACAAAAATGATATCATTAATTTTTTTTTTTTTTTTTTTTAATATTTCTTAATATTATTCAAGTTGACGATACTATAATTGATTACGCCACTAACAACCTGCAAAATAATCAACGAAGGACATATAACGAAAAAATTCTGTATGACATATTTCATGCACAAACACAACGTGTAAGATACGATGTATTATCGAGTTCACCCATCTAGAAATAGTTATTATGTTTAATAATCCGCATGGTTCTATAGTGTATGATGTACCTGTGGCCTATTAAATACATGTTAAAAATATGTAACAACTTTATGGCTTCTGTACATGTTACGCTAAATTGTATGTTCAGATGCGGTCGGAACAACAATGGAATAAAACTGCAGTAAATAATAAAAAATATATTGTTTTTTTTTTTTTTGACATAGATAAGGTTGTCATTAAAACACCGAACGTCAATAAAAATGTCAAATTATTAATGACGCAAATCACTTAACTAGGTGTTCAAATTAAGAATACTATACAAATTTAATCAAATTAAAAAAAAAATTAAAATTTATTTATAGATAATTTATTGAATATAATCAAATTCAAAGGCTGCTGAATAATGAAAAAAGAGCGTGCAACGAACAACTTTAATAAATGAAATTACACGATCTAATTTAGCAGCACCATAATAAATCATCAACGAGCAAATCAATAACAGGAAAAAATGATTCATTTACATATTTATTATACACTAAATTATGTATTAATTTGAATAATTGATCGCGTGGCATAAAGTGGATGAGTTGCGGTGTGTTAGTTAAGCCTTTCTTGCGGTTGATTCAGCAAATTAACCAGCAATTTGCGAGAAACCAGTCTAGATTTAAAATACACTGAACTACTACATTTAAATTAGAAACGATTAGCCTTCCCTCAGGGTGTTCAAGCACAAGTACAAATAATTTAGAAAGGTAATTAGATTCAAATCTAATGGCATTATACTTTGTACAAGACATGATACGTTATAATATTATTACATTCCGTTAAGGTAACGTGAAAGTATAGCACTATGTTTGAAAACGTTGAATTATCAACATTATTGTCATATGATAAAAAAAATAAAAACATATACGTATTTCGTGCAGCTAAAATCCCGAAGACATCTATAGTATTTGGGAAAAACTGAATTGATATCCAAACAAGTTTAAATATTATGAAAAAATAAATGGGCCTAATTCTGAACAGGTAATAATAACACCACCGTTCGACCTTTAGGTTTTTTCCACTAAAGATTATGTAATGTTACATGAAAAGGTTGAAAGCGGTGTAAATAGTAGATAGAAGAACTACACATACACTTAAATTTAGATAAAACTACGAGTAAAATTTCCATAGCATTTTCAGCGGTTCTTGACCCCGTAAAGTCATTTTTAGAGTGACAGACTACAATAACAAACATACAACTAGGAAAGCTTCTTTAGTCACATGTTATATTTGTAGGAAGGCAGTATTTTCACAGCTGAGGACATCAAACCGATAACATATTAACTGCTACGCTGTGTCGAGTAGCTATATTTAAATTGTACATTTTGTGATAATGTCACTGCGTAATGCTTTTGAATATTTAAGGTTATGTCGAAACTATGTTATAAGAAGTTTTCGCGGCGGCGATGACGATGTGCATCAAAGTCAGAACAAACGTTTTAATGCTTTCCATATACTAAATCGACATGACGACAGCGTGGCAAAGACAGCTATCAGAGAGAGGGGGCAAGAGAGAGGCAAGAGAGGAGAATCGACGGTATGATACGGACAGGCAAGTTTTTCGATCAAAGGGAAAATTTTGTACAAAAATAATTCAAAATTCAAGTTCAAATAACGCTAAATAAATAATTAAAACCGCGAATATTCTAATAATAGTCGAGGATTTATCATGAAAACTGCATGACGAGTCTACGCGGTGCCGATAAAAACCACGTTGTGAGCAGGACGAGACGATAACGTGGAGAATATAAAGGTATCGTTGCACACGTGTAGTGTGTAGAACGCGTGCGCGGTCCAAATTAATAATAAAAAAACATTATTAACAAACCTTTTTCGTGTTGTCCGGAGCCATAGTGAATGTACAGACTTAAAATATATTAATTTGAAAATATAAATGTCTGTACGCGTGAAAAAATAATATTAATATAGGTGAGCACAAATTAATACTATATTTGCCGGCTAACACTTCATAAAGCGGTTAAACACTGATGTTCAAACTATTGATGTTATTCACATACAAATATTAAAATAAACGTACGACACGACAATTGAGTGACGCGAAAACTGAACGACTACTGCGAAATCTTTCTACGTGGTCGACACGGCGTAGACTGTACGGAACGAAACACAAGAAAGTGGTAGCAGCGAATATTATGGCACTGCGGCGTGGCGGTGTGTAAGCTAGTGCTGTGCCGGCAGAGTTGCATGTACGCGGCACCGTGCATGGTGTATAGTCGTCAAGAAACGAAATGACGGGTGGGAGGGTGTATATGCCGGTTACGGTCACATCGTAGGTGATTATAGTAGTAAAACGGGACGGAGGGGTACCGGCTGTACAGTGCGACCAGAATGCCGAAACGAAAATGACCGTGTAGCAAGTAAGACCACGTGGCGAAGCTGCATTTACCCAACGCCCACTCGGGAGTATCACGTTTCATACAGGTATGCAAAGTTTATACAAAAACTACACAGCTTCCTTTAGTAGTATATACTATTTTTTTGGTAGTATATAACAACTTGTTAAGAAACATGAGACAACCCTAGCAATTACGAATTGACATTGGATTAAATTTAAAATTCAACATGCAAAGGTAAGAATATTTCATTAGAAACAAGAACATACGGTTATTACGAGTTTCCATAGCTCTTATAGTGACAATAATTCATTTACAGTCATAAAAAAAAAGATAATACTAATTGAAATGAGGAACAATGACGATTGCTTGGAAAATATTTGTGTGAATGCAGCTAGTGTCTCCCTTATGATAATAAAATAAAGGTTAACATTAAATTGCATTAGTCGTCTTTAAATAATTATGTCTCTTATTATAATATAGTTTTGCATTGAAAATTTTTGGTACTACCTAACCCGATAAAAAAAAAAAATACACGTGAAGTAGTCTAAAGCATTTTAAAAGAGCATATCCCACACAATGAAAAATACCTCAAATTTCAGCTGGCTCGGATATTGTTCACAATTCCGACATCTGCGTCGTATGAACAGATCAAGAATTGAATTACAACGAATATTAGATAAAAATTCTGATGAAATACGTGTATACCACGTTACACGAATAATAAAAAACCCAACTTTTCAATATTTGAACAACGAACACGTTTGACAATAACTCGTTTTTGCTTCTTGGTCATTTTTAGCGACTAAATTTATTTAACATTTTCGCTTAAAAACTCTTCTTAATTATTAGCCATATTATTGACCTCCATATAACAGCATACGCAGCAGAATTAAAAATATATTAAAATAAATTAAATATTGTAAAATCAAAAACTCTACCATTATTTAGTTCTTTTACTGTATTATAATGACATTTCGAAGAATTATTTATTCTTATCCAGTATCAAACAAACGGTATAGAAGCTACAAATCCTTGATTATTAAAACATTATCATTTATTAAAAATAAAATAAATATACTTTACGAACATTAAGCAATTTTGGCTTGAGAAATCGATTATATCATACCAGTTGTCATTACCGTTGTCAAAATATACCAAAGATAAGATTAATTTACAATCCATAAAAAAATTAAATATACACGTTAACTTAATTTAATAAAAAATAAAGTACTAACAACCTTAGAAAGATGATCTAGAAACCATTTATTGTTTTAGTAAAACAAAAGTCAATTAATAGTCAATATAATAGTCAAATATAATTAAATAGTCAAGTAATCAGGATATAATAAAAAATAAATTATAATTAAACTAAACTTATACAGTACGTAGAACATTGGTAAAAGTTAAATTAAAAAATTTCTTAGGTAGTTTTCAAGATAATACTTCAATTTAATAGGTATACAAATTAAGGTCATACAATATTTAATAGTGAATAAATTATGAAAAAATAGACAAATAAAAACAAACGAAATTTAAGTTGGGGCTATGGAAGTTTGATATTATGATTCAAGGTAAAAATATATTAAGCTGTTGAAAACTTTTAAAAAAAAAAAAGGATTTATTTTGGCCTTTATTAGACAAGCTACCAATCATACAACATAATATGACTACAATTTCTGTCAACCTTGAATTCAATAAAAACAAAACTATACTAATTAAAAATGTTGCAAAAAATAATAATTTAAATAAAATATATACAAAAAGTATTCAACAAAATCATGTACTTAGAAGAAATATTTAAGTACGAGATAAAGTATAAAAGCTTATCTTAGATAACATAAATAATTTTAAAACATTTAACCATTTTCAATAATTTAAAATAGATTAATATTTCAAATGGGAAAAAAATATTAAATCACTACAACTGTTTTCCAGTAGCTGGACAGACTAGAAAATTTGAAATGTTGACTACTAATTTACTTGTTTAGAAAATTATCTTATTTTTCTATGTTTAAACACGTGATTTAAGTGTTAATTGTTAACTTTAACCTCACAACATTATTATAACTATAAAAAATGTCTAGTTAAGCAGAAAAAAATATTGAATAATTGCAACCATATATAAAGATAATCGATTTGTTAAGATTATATAGTGTTCTATTGAAAAATGTCAGTATAATAAATTAAAGATTTAGACGAACATAGAAATAAAAATCATAAGATAAGCAATTAATATTTTTTAAGATCAATTTAATATCAAAGAGTCAAGGCAATTATTAATTTACACGTATGGAAATGCGCAATAATGAAAATATATTTGCGATGTTTTAACTTAATCATTAGATATGTCAGAATTAAACAAATATCTTAACATTAAAAAATGAAATCTTAAAAAATATGAGAAAATATACTTTAAATAAAATTCAGTTAAAAAAACGTTGGTTTCAAACTGTTTTATAAAGTGGTTATTAAAGAGACTAGGTTAAAACTCTATTTTCATAAATGTTATCATATTTGTATGCACAAATGCCGACTATAATAATTTTAATGAATCAGCTTTATTAAAGAATAACTTAAAAATGTCAAATACATGCAAATAAAAAACGAACGTGTGCAATACGTACTAAATATAAATAGCTTCAAATATAGCCATTAATAAAATACACTGTAAAAAAAACAAAAAAAATGTAAATATTGGTGAAGTTTTAAGGTTTTATGAGATTTATTAATATCATAAACACCAAAGAAAGTGGCTAAATTGCATAATAGATCAAAATTATAACAATTCACGATGAATATGACACAATTTTTATAAATATAATCATTTTTGCAACTTAATTAATACCCAAACGTCAAACATAAATCAATATTTTAGGAAAAAAAATAACATTTTTAAAAATGTGGTTAATCATGCGTTTTTGATGCATATATCAATCGTTATTTACAATATTTAATTTAAAAATGCATTAAGATATTATTAGAACAGTATATTAATACTTTTAAAAAGAAAAATTCAACACGTGAAGTTTAAAAACATCTATAATAATAATTTACTTACAGTTTAATATAAAAAACGTGTGCACTTAGATTATGATGGGATAAATATTCGTATTCCTTTGTTCTTCTTATTTTTTTTTATAGACAATACAGCCTGATAATAAAAATTAAATGTTACATTTACATAAATAATTATACACAACAATTAAATAATAAGAAATTGCAAAACAATTTGAACGCTTTAACGAATAACAAAATTATTCTTAAATTAAAAGATATTTTAATAAGAACAGTATATAAATATTAAAAAATTTTAAAAGAAATAAAAATAACGTATTAAAAAACATTTATTTTAAATTAATTTTTAAAAGATAAATCACAGGCTTAAAAATTTGAAATATTGAAGTCTAAATCCACAAGATATTAATGTTTTATAAGACCGCCATATATTATAAAAATAAATTATTTTAATTCATTTCTACAATTGGTAGAATATTTAAAAATAATATTTTTATGTGATTAAATTATATTTGAAGATTGAAATGTTAAAATTAATTTCAATAATTTTAGCCATACACGATCAATCATTTGTATTACAACTCTTCATTATAATATGATGAGCTTGAGAGTAACACCTAGTGATGGGCATTTTCGAATATTTTAAACTATCGAATAGTTTTTATACAACCAAATAATTTATTTTTAGCATAAACTATCGAATAGTTTTAAAAGCTATCGAATAACTATTCGAATAGTTTTTATACAACCGAATAGTTTATTTTTGGCATAAACTATTCGAATAGACTATCGAATTGTTTTAAAAACTATTCGAATGGGCTACCGAATGGTTTTAAAAAATATTCGATTAGTTTTACCTAAAACTTTAATAAGTATACTTAATTATAATAAGAAGATAATTAACGAATACTTATAAACGAATTATTATACAATTAATAATAGTAAAAATTAGTAATGGGCATTTTCAAACATTTTAAACTATCGTATAACTATTCAAATTGTGTTTATACAACCGAATAGTTTATTTTTAGCATTAACTATCGAATATTTTTACTATTCGAATATTTTTTGAATGATTATCGAATAGTTCGATAGTTTTTATTCGATATTTGCCATCACTAGTAACACCTCAATACAGATTGATAGATCTAGGGTAGGGTCAGATGTATTCCTCTAAGTAGTAGTCACGCTAATAGTTTGAATGCCGTACTAATTAAATTACATAAATTATGAAATTATTTATCCAAAATAGAACTACAGAAAAAATTATGGTGTCCCGTAAAAATATGATAAAATGAATATATACAAAATTATTAACTGGGATGTGCGCCTATCTAATAATAATAATTATATATTAGATATATTATTGATTGATTGTATTACAGTAAGTTTATCATATTCAAAATGTATAGTATCAATCATTAACTTAATAATACAACGAAAATTTTTTTCTCGAAATGTATGTAAATAAGTATTTGGTTGTACTTAAATATTTGTACAATAGGTTCATTAGTGATTAAGTAAATATCAAAGAATAAGAGATTATAGAGAAAAAATATTGTTAAATAATTTTATGAATTATAAGTATTATAATATTATAATACTTGGTATTCACTTAAATTTTTTTATATACAGAAATACCATTCGTTATGCCATATTTAATTACAATTAGACGAATAATGATTTGAATATAATTTTTTGTTTATCGGATAATTTTATTTGTAATAACATATATTATGACATATTTTTTAACAAATTGATATATTAAAATAACTTAAGATTTTTCTCCAAACAAATTTAAGTTCATATTTTATTAATATTTTATATACAAAAAAAAAAAAAAAACATTCAATAATATAATGATATTTGAAAAAAAACAAAAAAATATATATATATAAGTATAGATTTAACAAATTACTGCATAAATATTAATCTTATATTAAAAATTTATTTAGAATAATAAAAAATAATACGTTTGTGTAATCCGGAAGAGATAAAAATAATCTTTCATTCAAAAATATGTTCATCACGAATCCAAGATAATATTAAAAAATTTTGTACTTGACTTAATAATTTACTCATATTTTACCATAATTAAATATTATGTATATTATTATTTTATATAAAACTTTCGGTTTGTACTATTTTTCACAGAAAATATTTCAGTAATTTAATATCCATTTTAATTAAAATATTTACAAGATCTAACAATTTCTAGCTTAAAATATGATTAATTTAATTATTTGAAAATCTAATTTTCAAACGAATGGAAAATAATTCAATAAATTATGAACAAATATAAAATATTGTAAAAACCAGAAAGTAAAAATACCATTAAGGTTCAAGGGTCTGAAAAGTAGATTGATTATTTCTAAAAACACCTGTTAAACACATGGAGTATGTTATAAATATAACCTCATATGGTGCTATTTTTATATTTTGTTCTAGGGTATAAAACTTTTCTCGAAGTACACACAAAGTCTACTACCACCAATAATATTTTTTTTTTTACAAAACGTACAATAATTAGTCCCTTTTTTTTTAATCGATAGGCAATAATTATTTTATAAGTAATAGGAATAATTCATACGATTGTACTTAAAGTATCCAAAAAGAACTTGTTTCTATAAGAAATGTATTTTTAAAAATGTATTATTCAATTTTTTATTGTTATTTATATTAACGAAAGTGATATTTAAAATTATAAAATTCTATTTATGAAATTATACTTTTTCAATAAAATAATTAATTATTATCTAATATTTTTATTATTTTTACACAGGATATGTTTTATTTTATATATTAGTTAAATTTTTCATATTATTGAGATTTTTTAGCTTTTCGAAACAGGAAATTCAGGATAATATTAAATTGGTAATAAAACATTGAACAAGTACGAGTAATTCTGAATGAAAAAAATAGTTTTTGGCTATTTACTACTAAATAAGAATCTTCATAATAGCCATAAATAATATAATTTTGCAATTGCCTGACTTTTCTACGATACTCCAGTTGATTTAAAAAGAGTCCATACTTGACTTAAGGGATGTAGGCATACATTATTGTGTGAGGGTGTTTGATAATATAGGGTGATATTATCAAACACCCTCAATTATTTTTAGTTTTTTTATCAATTCGAATTTCATAAATGGAGGAATGAACTCTAAAAATACTTCTTTATCAACCCACTTTTAGCAAAGGGGTATAAGTATAGATTTTTGGGATAGTTCTTATATATAATTCACCATCCCATTATTTTTAATTATATATATAAAAAAAAATTGAATAAGGGAATTTAACTCTAACCCCTCTTTTACATAATCTAAATTTAAGATGGGTTAATTCAATTTTCAAAAATTCCAAACAAATTCATTAAAATATGGTTATGATTAAGGAATAACTTTTCATTATTTGAATTTCATTGACTCAAAAGAGGATTTATATATATCAATAATATGGATTCTTTAATCAAATATTGCAATGACTTGAAAGTTCTTACTACAAATTATCTTATTATCAACAAATCTGATCAGTATAGAAACATCACCAAACGTTTTACTAATAATAGAGTAATTTGATTACAAGTTCTAATTGATAATTTTTTATGAAAATGTTATTAGTTGCTATTTAATGAAAATGTCTTACTTTTAAAATTAAATAATGAATTAAAATTGTTGTTACCGAATTATTTATTTTAGTTATTAAACAAAACAGGTGTTAGCCCAATTATAAATGTTTACATTGTTTTAATAGAGAACAACCTATATTTCATTTGTAAAGCATGAAAAATAAATTAAAAAATAAAAAATCTTTGAGAGTTAAATTACTAAGAATTAACTAAAAAACAACTAAAAAATCAGTCATGAATTAATAATATATATATTAAATAGACTTTTCTTTCTAAATCACACATTTTATTAATTTTTGGTAAATTATGTTTGGTAAAACATAATTGTAATGAAGATTGATTAAATTTTAGTTATGATTTTATCAATAGTAAAAATATAATTCCAATTTTATTTCATAGACTACATGGTTATTGATTTTGTTTAAAATATAACGCAACTGATGATTCTGTAAGCTAATTAATTATCAATGTTGTTTTATTCATAATTACTATAAAATTATAAATTATTTATAAACTAATGCAATAATATTATTTTTCAAATATATAATAAAAATACTTGTCAAAGTGCAAACATACTCATACTTTACAATTATAATCCATAATTTTTTAATAGAAAAAGTAATATTAGTGCTTAAGAAAATAACGCCTTTTGACAAGAATAATAGAAGCAAAATAAAATGTTCACAGGGCTCTGTTATAGAAATTATTATACCTAAATTAATTAATCTTTTCAAACTTAAAATATATCTATAAATATAACAAATTAATATGTATAAACTTTTACACTTTTTTAACTTTTATTAAAATAAACTTTCAATAAAAAATGGTTTATACATAGATTGTTATACCAAAAACTTCCATATATTTTACATAATGCATAAAATTGACAAAATTAATCACATATATAAAAAAATAGTACAAATCATACTTACATTAATACTTTAAATGAATTGTGTTAAATAATTATTTCTTTTTGTATTTAGTGCTTAAATGTTTTTACCAACAGATAATCAGTTAAAATTTATAGATTTTGTTTCATTTGTAGATAAAAAATAAGCTTATGTAGGTTAATCATGTATTAGCACTTTGAACAAACTATTTTTGCAATTCAAGATTAAAATTTATTAATTGCTTTATGTTAAATGAAACAGTTATTTATCATTTGAGTCTAGATAATGACAACAATTTATTTCAAATTGAATTTATAATTTTATGTAATAATTATCTATAAAATGGTATAAATAACTATATGGGAACTTGACACATCTATTCATTAAGGAGTATTATTTATCCAATATCTAAAATTATCTACGGTTATGTATCATATCATCATTATTATTTAAGAATCGATAGAAGTGATCTTATCCCATAATAATTATTAAGATAGCAGCTACTTTGTACTTTAAGTTTCCATTTTAAAATCATATTAAAAAGTCTACAAAATTGTACATGTCTAGAGCAAATACAATGTATTTCACATGATTTTTTAAAATACTTGTCAAAGTGCAAACATACTCATACTTTACAATTATAATCCATAATTTTTTTAATAGAAAAAGTAATATTAGTGCTTAAGAAAATAACGCCTTTTGACAAGAATAATAGAAGCAAAATAAAATGTTCACAGGGCTGTTATAGAAATTATTATACCTAAATTAATTAATCTTTTCAAACTTAATATATTGTTTTTTTTTTCATATTGGTATAAAAACCAGAAACTTCAAAAAATGTTGAGTTGTGTCATTATTTTTGCTAATTAGCAATATAAAACAGTTTTTTGATAAAAAGAATAAATTTTGGAAATGATTATTTTTAATAAGAAATCATCTTCAATCTTAAGTAAATAAATAAAACCTATGAAATCTATGAAATCTATCAATGATAATTATGAAAAATTAGTTAAGAGTTGAACAAATTGCTTAACTATTATCCATATACAATATTTGATTTATTTATATAGTTTCGATATCTATTGTATATATATTTTTTATTTGACTTAATATTTTACCTTGAACCATTATTCTCAATACCTTATACAGTGTGATTAAGTAATTATACCTCCACAATATTTTAGAATCATAAAAAATTATAATTTCTTTCATTTTAGTAGTTAATAGTACTCTATGTCCTGATTAAAAAAAGATTAATCCTACCTCCCAACTCTATAGTTTAGAATATTATCAACTTATTTCAAGTTTTTCAAATAGAAACATATATGTTAAATTAGCTTTAAAATAATAATAAAAAATAAATGACTAGTCGATAACAATTTATGAACCAGTATTATAAACGACGTTAGAATTTTTATACTTAAGTGGAAGGAGTTATATTAATCTGTATATTGTTATCTCTGGACAAATGAACTTACTACTTACCCTCCTTTACTTTTAAGCTAATTAAATATATATGTTTCTATTTGAAAAACATAATTTGATTAATTTTTATTAATATTTTTAATATAATTTTAAACATAATTTTTTTTTTTTTTTTGAAGTACAGAAAATAGGATACTATTAACTTTTAAAATGAAAAATATAATAATAGGTTTGATTTTTTTAAAAATTATTGAGTAAGACATAGTTAATCATCTTACATTAAATGTTTAAAAAAACATGAAATGGAAAAGCTTAATAAATCATATTGATTTGAATGAATATTTTTTTCCATTAAATTCGGTTGGATTTACTATTTTAGTTTGAAAAATAACACTAGTATATGAATTGTTATAAAAGCATCATATTATTAAAATTATCATTAACTTTTATGATTAATTAATAATTAAGTAACATTTCGCAAAAGAAATTAAGAAACACATCAAAATAATAAAACATAATGAATACATAAAATAATAATAATAATAAAATACAAACAACCAATTAATATAGAAAAAATGTTAGAGCTCTAAAACTTAATATACATCAATAATTAAAAATCAAAAGGTTAATCAAATTTATTCAATAAGTTCTAAAAAGTTGTATGGAGAAGTATTTTAACAATTAATTAGTAAAAACTAAAAGAATTGTGTTCAAAACTTATGTCAAACACACATATAAATTAGACTTTTAGTTTTCTTTAAAATTAAAAACTTTTGATTTCGAGAATTTTGAATTTGCTTTTCTTAAACTAAATAAAATTTTAACTACCTATATATTTTAAAACTTAGAAAATAATTTATTTTTACTTCATTATTTAAAAAATATTTTTTTAAATTTAAATAATAATTAGTATAATGTGCTTTTTTCTCGTATATCCTAATTTTTTTCCTTGTTCTATTATATAATAAGATGAGAAAATGTATACTAACTTTTTTGAATTTACTAATTTACATCACTTAAAAACAGTAGTATACCAAACATTAAGCATTCAATAATATTGTGTTATTGTTATTAAACTAACCTAAAACGCCGGTTTATTAAAATTTAACTCTTACGGCCACTTACGATATAGTAATACTAACCTCAAGTAATTTTTAAGGATAAAAAACCGTTTAACGGTAATAAAACACACACTACACTCAAGAATAATAATAAAAAGGAAACGTATAATGTTTTTGACACACAATTTAAATAATTACGTTAAAAATAAATCACATATTAAACAAAAACAAGCAATACCGCTAATCTCGTGGTTAGCTGACGGACATGTTGTGCATTGCCAATATCGGACAATCGGCATTCGGTTAATAGTGTTGCCAAATGTTATAGCAAATACTTACCTGACACATCTTTACAAATAGGACAAAATACTTGGGGATGCAGTGATGCCAATATAACAGATGGCACTAAACCATACATATTATACTAATAGATAGAGCAAAAGACTTATCTAATATATGACTATCGAAAATTATTATAATACCTACTATAGAAAATGTATGAAAAATTATTAACTATAAGTCAATGTATTTTTATGTACACCTTAAATACTTTTAATTATTTTTTAGCTGTTTTTTTCAAAAATATATATATTATTGTTACTCAGTGATAATTTGTTAATAAATGTGTTGTATCATAATAAGTAATATTTGGAACATAAATATTCCAAAAGTGGGGGTACTTAGTTCATAGATATTCTATACATATGCCAATGACGTCCTAAAATTCTATGGTCTAACACTCGTGCCTCTCATAAAATGGCTCTTTAAATACATCTCTACAATGGTGGGCATTAACTAGTTAAAAAGATAAAGATAAATTAATAAGTTATTTTTGATTAACTTTTCAACTTAACTAGTTAATTATTTTTTTATTTAACTTTTTAACTTAACTAATTTAATTTTCCGTTAAAATAGCTTAGCTTTTTCAGTTAATTAGTTAAAATAACAGTTAAGCTAAATTCAATATTTCATAAAAAAATGTATGTCTTTAAACGCTGCGTATGTGGTTTTATTAAAAAAAAAAATAGTAATTTCCCCCCAAATATTTTAGTTATAAAATATAAAATAAATATAATTTTCTGAATTTTTTCAAAATGCATATGATTTTTAACTGATTTTTATTTAGTTTCAATGATAAAACAATGCAACCAACACAAAAATGTACAAAACAAATAAAAAAATTTTAGGTTCTCATTAATATTTTTTTCATAAGTTTAGAAGATATGATAAGTTGTATGATAGGCAGGAACAAAGAAAAGTGAAAAATAAGTCTATAGATTTTGCAAAAGTAATAGAAAAAGGTCTAAAGATTATCACCATGTAAGATGTATAAAAAGTGTGAATAATAGGGTGCTATCTAGTGATGATGTGGAAAAAGTATTTTGAAAAATTACTGATTGAAATGTATCAAAAGAGACATTAGAGGATATCTCGTGGAACGAAGGATTTGTAGATTTAATTAATTAGAAATACGTATGGGAAACTGAGGCATCAATGAAAAAGAATAAAGCAGTAGGACCAGATGAAGTATCAGTAGAAGTATGGATAATATTAGGCGGTGTTGGTATAAGGTGGTTGAAGGATCTTTTAAATAAAATCTTATTAGAAGGGAAAATATCAAATTAATGGAGGAATAGTATTATGGTGCCGATATTTAAAGATAAAGGAGATGTAATAACTAAAAATACTGTAATTGGGGATGGTATTAATAAAGAAGAATGGTAATAGCATCATCCGTAAAGACATAATACATACAAGTACTTTGATTTCTAGTTATTACTGGATTAGTGTATTTAATGTATTAAAACTACTCTTACTTGATATCCACTGATTATAATTAATAATAATCATAATTATGATTGAATCTCGGTTGTTGACTTGTAGTTGTTTAAATTTATAGGAGGTATGTTAATAAAAGAAAATTATTAGTGAATTATGAAATCGTATTTATTAATAAGAATAGTGTTAATTATATTAACAATGGTAAGTTTTTAACTATGCGATTGAATTGAATTCAAGACTATAGAAACACACATAAAAAATACACTAGAGTATTTTAGGAAATAATCTATGTAAAATGAGAAAAAGAGATACGCGAGTGAATAAAAAAACAGGGTCATCAACAGCCTTTAAATAATGTATCACGAACGGCATAAATAGGGTTGGGTGTCTAAAATGTGTCATGTATTTTTATAGACACATTCAGTCATCATTAGTCTATATTCCAATCAACGCAAAACAGTTATTATAATTAATTTTCCTTTTTTAATACTTTTGTGGTGCCACGAAGACGCGAATGATGACAGAAGGTTTTCGGGTAAGAGTAGGAGAGCATCAGGGTTCTGCTTTAAGCCCTTACTTATTTTCTATAGTGATGGATGAAATTACTAGAGAAATACAAAGTAAGGTGCCGAAAATCTAGAGGTGTGAAGATCAGCTCATGATGAAAAGGATTTAAGGATAATAGGAGTAAGAAGGAGTATATAGACTACGGGTTTGACAAAGGAGACACGAGGAAGATAAAATGAGGAGAGCAGTGACAATAATCAAAGATGTGATTGGAGATATGAAAAGTTTTAAGTATTTAAGGTCAGTTGTGCAAATGAGCGGTGGTATTGACGAGGATGCAAGACACAGAATTAAGTGTGGGCGATATTTAGAGATATGAGGATGTCCAGATAACTTGTAAAACATCATGTAACGAGGAGCTATGTTCCTACATTCTCTATTATTACTATGATTTAATGCCAATTCCCACATGGAAATCATCATTGCCCATTTCTAGAAAAACGCTACCGTTCTGAAAAAAGTTGAAAAACTAATATTTTGTTTAATTACCCTCATTTTGAAATCATGAGTGATACAAGCCTATTTTTCAAAAATTGAGTTGAAACTTCAACATAGTATTTTAAATGAATCAACAAAGTTAATATTTTAGTTTTTTTAATTATAGACATAACCACATTCCTAAAAATTTTAATTTTAAATTATTTGGATCATTTACTAATGTGTTTAAGTCAAGTTTAGTCAAGGAGAGCTAAGTCCCCTCAAGTTACTTGCTAATGATCGGTGCTTTTATAATATATCTAACTAGAAATTTTGTATGGGTGAATGTTCAGATAGCTACGTTATAGAATGTAGAATAGTGGGCTGACTCACCCTTCTACCACTCCTGCAACTATGATTTTATGTTCATTGGGGTTCTGGAAACAGGACCCCCTTGGTTACAATTTCATAAGAAACGCAATATCTAATCAGTTTGATTTTAATATAGAAAAAATACCAACTTAAATAAATTTTCTCTCAACGGATACACTGTTTGAATGTACAATAATTCTCTTTCTATGTACTAGCGGTTCTAACAAAGTACCAGTGTTGCTAGTATTATAAATCGTCATGATCCCTTAAGATTATTAACAAAATCGTATTTTATGTAAAAGAATCATGCAAAAATAAATGTTTAGTGTTCATAATAACATTGATAAATTATTACACATTTTAATAAATATTTTCTATTTTTAAAGAAATAGTTGTCATAATGTACATCAGTATTTTTATAATAAGTAATATAGATAACAATTTGAATTATACAAACTAGTAAAATAAAAAACTATAATTCTTATGTATAAAGATAATAAAGGTATTTTTTCCTTATGTAAAATAATTAACAAACATAAAAATGATAATTAATATTTAAGTTTTAGGAGAACAGTAATAGTCTGTAATTTGAGTATTGTAATAAAGATATGTCACTGTTCTTATTACTTTTTAAGTAAAATTATATTCTTGACGTATAACTTTGCACGATCCTAATTTTTGGATTGTACAACAAATATTACCTTTAATTATCGTATAAGTACAATTTAGATCGTACACCTGGTTACACTGCGCAGCATTGTTATATGTTAGTTTACTTACTCCTTTTACGTTCATTTTATAATATATTATTATCTTGGATAAAACGTTAGCGTCGATATCCCTTCCTGTATGGTGGACACTCATTGTGATTTACATTGATTTGTAAATTTCTCAATTTATCAAAATTTTCTATTTTCCCTCAAATAATAGCAACATTTTCGATTATTTAACCGTTCGTTGACGTGCCGCGTGTGTTTACTAGAGGTTAGCACTTGTCAATACAATCAATTTCATAGTATCTCCATTTTTATATTGTTTACTTTAGTTACTTAAGATTGTCTTTAAATTGTAAGTAGTTATTATTATATTTTTGATATACCAAAAATTTATTTGTTCATGGTTTTACCGCAAAAATAAAAGATACCTCTATCGTTAGATTTTCTTTTCAATTTACGTTTAGTATCTATTTCTAATTAATTTCGGCGTTTCAAAAGTCTTACCGTGTTTTTAAATTCTTTTGTTGATTTTTTTTTCTTTTGAAAAAGTGATTTAAATATTCTAGTTCTAATTATTATTATTAATTATATATTTAAATAGTTCTTATTATAAATTTACTGTACAAAACAATAATATTAAGTAAAAATAAACAATTTAAAATAATTATCAATATTTTAAGGTAAAATTATAACTGAATTATGGCTTAATGAATTTTTAATATTATATGTTGTGTAATATGTTTTCTCTATTTTTTTTTTGTTTTAGCAAAAATGTCTGGTATTGCATTAACTCGCTTAACAGAAGAACGTAAAGGATGGAGAAAGGATCATCCATTTGTAAGATTACTAGTTTAAGATATTCTTTGTGTAGAAAAATCCTCACTGCTTGATTTAAAGGGGTTAAGTTAACATTTTAACTTTTTGAGTAATATCAGACAAACTTATTTTATTATCCATATATCCTTATTATTTTGAAATATTTTGTACAAATTCAGCATTTCTTCTATATGATATTAAACACACATTCTTTTTTTTTGATAAATGAAGATTATAAAAGAAAATCAACATTACTCATTTTAGTCATAATTGAATTTATAAATGAAACAAAACTACCTCGTTTGTCCAATTTTCAACCATATTGCAGCATAAAAGAAGTTGACCAGTTGTTATCAAACATTACCCTAATTTGTTTTTCATAGTAATAAAAAAAAATTAGGTGATCTTAGTTCATTTTTGAGTTATTTAATATTTAAAATATATTAATTAATCTTCATTTTAAATAATGTTTGCCACATCAATTCTTATCAAATTTCATTTTGCGGACCATCCTAGTATAATCATTAATAAGTTAACGACTATATCACTGATTCTAATGCATCTTTGCTACTCAACTACTTATGACATAATATACTATAATTTCTTTTATATAGGGATTTGTTGCTAAACCAGCCAAAAATCCTGATGGTAGTATGAATCTTATGATATGGGAATGTTATATTCCAGGAAGGAAAAATGTGAGTGAAAATATAATAAATTTCTTTCTTATTAATTTTGTTTTTTAAAGAAATAAAATTGCATACTTCAATGTATTTTTTCTTATCGTTTTTTATTGCCCATTGGGGGCAACTATTATATGAGTATACTACAGTGCCTGATTTACGGTAGTATGTTGTACAAATTATACAATGATTGATATTATGAGATGTCTCAATAATAAATGCCACATTTGAAAAGACTGTCGTTTTTTTTTTTTTTTGTAGCATTGGTTTTGCTATTTTTGTTATCTGTTACCATTAAAGTTTTATGTTGAAAAGGGGTTTTGTGGTTCTTATTGATTGCTTGTGTTGTATTGAAATGGAAAGGTACAGTAAAGAACAGTGTGTTTCAACTGTCCGTCACTTGATAAGGAAATTCTAAGAAAATTGTTTTATATATGACAACAAAATCCCTGGACACTCTTGAAGTGAGGTGAATGTTACTGTTGTGCATGATTCTATTACTGTGATTCCAAGAAAAACGTGTTGCTGTCATGCACAAAAAGTGAATCAGCAATAATGCAAATAATTTTAACAAACGATTCACATTTATGTGGGTATAAATTTTAATTAACATGAGAAGCCAGCAGACCACGGAAAATGACAATAATTTGTTGAATGGATCCTGAAAAAAGAAATGAGAGGCCGAGGATTTTCCATAGTGCATTATTTTTATCGATGAAGCTCATTTTTATTGAAATGGATTTGTAATTAAGCAGAATTGACAAATATGGAAATCTGAGAATCCAAGAGTAATTAAAAAAAAAAAAAATGCATCCATTGAGAGTATGGATTAGTGTGAGTGGAGTTTGATCAGTCCTTACTTTTTTGAAAACTAAGAAGGAAATGCTGTCACAGCAAATAGAGTTTGTTTCTATGCAATGCTCACTGAATTCCTTTAGCCTCATTTGATCAAAGAACCATTGAGGATGTATGGTTCCACCCAGATAGTGCAAATTACCACACTACAAAAGAAACAGTTGCTAAGCTGCGTGAGAAGTTCCCGGACAGACTAATCCTGTTGTGGTTTGTTAATCAGTAATTAACTATAATCTTTCTTATGTGAAATCTTTTTAATTTATGATTATGTTTCAATAGTAAGAAGCAAACTATTGACTATTAACACTATATATACCAAAATTTATTTTTTAAATGTTTTTTTTTATAAAAACATGATCTAAAATTCTATTTTTTGGTGAACTTCTAATAAGTATATAACTGAAGATATTATATAGATTATTTTTATAAATTATATAAAACTATTAGTGTCAAATTGACTACTTAATTTAAAGCCTACATCATCCTTTGGATACCTTCCCTCAAACATGATTGTATAATTCTGTCATACCCATATGGTAGTATAATACAGTTGTAAATGATTTGTATATTTATATATCAAACTACACTATGCATGCTAATATATATCAATATTTGTCTAATTTTTCAAGGGTATAACTCGATTATAATAATTGTTTTTTAGCTTATGCAAAAATTTAAAAAATCATTATGTATAAAAATTGATGTATATTTATTGTGAATATTTTTGTTCTAAATACTACATTTTATTAAGAGTTTAAATAAAATTTTTTGTTTTTTAAATTTTACTATGTATATTGTATATTGTGTGGTTTTGGAAGGTATAAGATGTATGCACTTGAACTATAACATATTTCCATTAAAAATACAAATTTATTTCTAACTTTTGATGTACAAAATTACAACAGTTAAATTCTTTTTTACCCAATTTGTTTAATACCTATAAATTATTTATATATATTAATTTAAATAAAAATTAATTTTGTAAAAAAAAATTTCTTTAGACTGCATGGGAAGGTGGAATGTATTTTCTACGTATGATTTTTAAAGATGATTATCCATCTAGTCCTCCTAAGTGTAAATTTGAACCACCATTATTTCATCCTAATGTTTACCCCTCAGGTAGTATTTTGAATTTTCTTTTGTTATAAAATTTAAATAATTTTTTTAATAATTTAATTAGGAACAGTTTGTCTATCATTATTGGACGAAGAAAAAGATTGGCGCCCAGCTATAACTATCAAACAAATTTTGCTTGGTATTCAAGATCTTCTAAATGAACCAAATATTAAAGATCCTGCCCAAGCTGAAGCATATACAATATATTGGTAATTAGTATTTGCTATTTCATTACATTTTACATTTTGAAGAACTAGTGAATTATACAAATGTGAATCAATTTTTAGTCAAAATCGTGTTGAATATGATAAACGTGTCAGAGCTCAAGCTAAAGCAATGTCAAGACCAGAATAGTAATTAGTTATTTGATGATTTGAATGTTTTCCCTTTTTAATGAGTAATTATACATTTAATTTTATTATCATTTTGGTAAGAAGTTTCCCATTACATTGTATAATTTTCAGGAAGAAACATTCATTTAGGTATTACTCTTACTTTTGTATGAAAACTTGTACTTTTTTTATAATTATTATAGAAATACATATTTATAATTGGTAATTATGACTAATTACTTAAATATTTTATGTTAAACAAAAAGTGATTACGTAATCACTCCCCTTAAGATTTTTAGTATAGTTTTTTTAACACAATGCATTAATGTAGTTTAAAATGTGAGACATATATATATATTTATATGCCTAACAGTGTCAATGTTAAAGATATTCATTATAATTTTATATGATAAAGTTGTCATCATAAAAAATAGTAGCTTTGAGCTTATTTTGTATAGCTCATATACTATTTTTAATCAATGCTTATCAGTGTAAAACAAACAATTTAATATATGCCAATTCATTTTAAATTAAAATCACTATCTTTTTACTAAGTTGAAAGACCTTTCAATGTTAATATTTTTTTGGTTTTTAATATTTAACTACATATAGATTAAGATGATAAATTAACTATTTGTAATCATATTTTGGGTTTGTGTTGAAACTCAATAAGGTTATTTTTTTTAATTTTAATTTTAATTTTGTTATCATAGTTTAATGTATAATTACGTGATTTTTTTTTATAAAGACAGTCTTGAAATTGAAAATACTGTCTTTTACATTATCTTAAAAAAAAAACCAGCATAGTGGGGTTGTGGCATAGTTGGGACAAATATAGATGATATTTGACAGTGATTAAATTCATTATCATAAAAAATGTTTTGATGCAAATATATAGTGTTTAATTTTTTAGAAGATAAATTTTGATTATATCAAAAGCGACTCCTATTTCCTTGATTATATCTTGATCAAAAGTCTTAGGATTTATAAGTAAAATACTAATTATAGTAATATAATTTAGTATGAAATTGATATTTAATAATTAAGTGTAGTAATTTTTACCGAGAAATTATAAAAAGTCGATTAATTATTCTGACCTGTGTTAGTTATAATTTATTAGTTATGAAATTGTATTAGTAATTTATCAAAAGCCATTTGTAACTAAACATTTTTTTTTAAAAAGGCAGCCTTCTCTCCTAAAATATATACATTGGATAGACACTAAGTTATAAAAATTCTCCCTTGAAAAAATATAATTAACAAATTTTTTATTATTATTTTTTTTTTTTTTTAAGTTATTAATTTTCCCTTATATGTGACTATTGTTCGACCTAAAGTGTAGACATAAATAATTGAAAAAGAGAATTATAACAACATGAAGAACTGTGATTTTTAACAGGATAGCATGTATTTAAACTTACAGTATTTCCGGAACATTGTCTAAAGTTGAAAAGGCGAACTTTTCATGTAAAAGTTGTTATTTTGAATCCTCTTGTGAGTTGGTAAATGGTCACTATTAATAAATGTATCTGGTGATTTATGAAAATTTATTCACTACAATAATTTTATTATTATCTTCTCAACAAATAGTATCTTGCATACTTCGTTTTAGACAATGAAAGTTCTGCAAATTTTCCATTAAACTTATAAAGCAGAGTTTCAATGCTCGAAGCGTTCACTATAACAACTAATCAAATAATAGACTACTTAAGTATAATTAACATAAAAAAAAAATTCTTTCTGTTATTACAATGCAATGTTATAACAAAATTTTGTAATGAATGAATATTTATAATTATTCAATTACAAATACACATTTTTGAATAAAATAACTAAACCTTATATTATATATATTTTTATATGTCTGTTGCCACTTTTCCTTATTTCTCACCAAACTGATTTCTTTTAACAATGCGTAAAAAGATCACAAATTGTATCTAATTAAAGATATTCCCTTTAAAAATTGAAAAAAAATTTCTCGTTCTCTGTAAATGGGAATAATTTGCAAAAATAATACGATTTTTAAAAGTGGTAAATTGTTACAATTTTTTATCTTAAAACTGCCATATATTTCTCAAAAATTAACGAATCAAAATAATTTTTTTAACAAAAACCTTATGAATTTCCCTTTTATTTGATATAATTTTTTTGAAAGCCTGACAACCTACTCACAGGGGAGGTTTAAAATAACAATTTTTTCAACTTTTGTTAATGTTCTGGATATACTTTGCCCTTTAATCATACGTTAAATTAAAGCTAATGTTATCTACTATAAATTAAAAAAAAAATTTGTCCCGACCACTTATCTCCTATGTATAAATGGCTACCGTTGTTAAAAACATGCTATTTTTATGTTAAAATTTTCGATTTTATATTTTTAACCTTAAACTGCTATAATTTTTGAAAAAATGTACGGATCGACATAAACTTTTATTTCTAAACACTTTGTATATACCCCTTCATCCGACAAAATTTTTTTTTTAAATCGGACATCTTCCCTTACAAAATTTGAAACATACGTTTAAAAAGTAAAACTTTTCAACTTAACTTTTGAAAACGTTTTGAAAATACTGCGTCTGATATATGTTAAATTTAACTTATGTTATGCACTATTAGTAAAAAAAAAATTATCCCAACAACCTATCTCTATATACAAATGGCCGTTGAAATTGAACAAATTTATTAAATTTTTAATAAATAAATTCAAATTTATTCATATATTACACTTATATATCATAAAACTTATAATCAGGATATAAATAAGGAAAGAGTTCATATTGCTTTTGGTATAATCCACCAATTTTTTAAATTAGACATTATCTACAGATTTGCATTTTAGCGTTTCATATGATGGTGATTTTAATCACTGGCAGATATCATCTATACTTGTCTCAAGTATGACACTTTGACTCTGCTACCATTGTTTTATTTAGCAATTACCACGATTATTAGTTTCTTTTAAAAGTTGCATACTGTTATGTTTTATGCTATTAGTTTAATTATAAGTTTAATTAAAAAGAACTATGTTCTCTTTGATATGTCCTCATTCAGTGCTACATTAAATGTTGGTGTGATTTTTAATATTTTGAGTTCATTTGTGTATTTTGGGCAGTAGATTATGATGTGTTCAATTAATATGCAAGTTTGACATGTATTATAAATTGGGATGTTTACTAATTGAGTAAGAGTGAATTTGTGGGTATATCCTATTCGAAGTCTTGTAATAGTAGTGATTTTTTCCTTGTACTGTACATGTTGCATTTTATTTTTATACTGTTTTTTAATGTTTGTTTGAAATACTATATACTCTATTCAAGTAAGATCGCCAAAGTTTAATTATTTTATTCTTGATTTCATACATTTCTTCAGAGGTTATTTGTTGAAGTAATGTGCATAAGATAGCTGAGTTTTCAACTGCATCAGTTTTTCTATTACTAAGTAGTTTTAGTTTTAGTTATTATTGAGGTGGACATAATGCCCATGCACTCAGACCTGTTGGTCCATTGGTCCATACCGAATTGTCTTGATTCGGTTTACCCACCTAAGTGTTATCACCAAAGTGTTAATACATTACCAACCATAAAGTCACCTCTAAAGATGACCAAAGAGTCCTGTCTTTCTGGCGAAATTAAGTATCTCTCTGGGTTTTAGGTTTTTAATATCCTCTTTTTCAGGAAATGGTTTATTCAAGTAGTTTGATCTTAGTGTGGACAAGGCTTCACATTCGCACATGATGTGAAATGAGTCTTCTTCTACTCCACACTTCCTGCACAATGGTGATTCCGATACCCCCATTGCGTTAAGATGCTTAAGCAGGTGACCATGTCCTGTCAGTAGACCAGTCAGGGTGCTTATTTGATGTCTAGTCATGCTATTAAGATCACCCAGCAATAAACCAGGGGTCTTGATAAACATTTTAGATTGTCTAGGTACTACCAAGTACTTCCAGATTTTCCTGTGTTGTTCTCTGCACCAATTCTTGGGTAACGCTTTGAGCGATTGCTCAGTGAGCCCTACCACTGGTTCTGGTCCAACATAGGTGTTCTCTGCTCCTTTCCTGGCTAGAAAGTCAGCATTCGTATTACTAAGTATATCAACATTGACAAAATCCACTTAAAGACTATTGTATTATTTAGTTAGCAATTAGTTCATTTTTTGAAAATAGATTTAATAAATATAAAAGAGCATTAAAGGTATTTATTATGATAGATTTTTCTGATGTCAATTAAACTGGTATTTATAAATATATAATCTTATAGTCTTCTAAATCATTCAGAAGTTCCACTTTTAGAAAACAAGCAGTTTGTTAACTGCTAATTGTATAAATCTTTTAACTAGTTATTTATAAATCTAAATAATTAATGTCAATTAATAATTTGTAAGCTATACATAATAAAAAATTTTTTTTGTAAAAAAAAATATTTTTATAATACTATAAGTTATAATTTTTATGAATTAATGAATTAATGACTTTACAAATTTAACAAGTATTTTTTTTGGGTCTTCCACGTTTTCGAGGTGTGTTATTTTGTATATTTAACTTTGTTATTACATCATCTCCATGGTAGCTTGTCATATCAAAATCATCAGAATAACGAGAATTAATTTTCCGATTTCTGAAACTTCTTTTTAATTTTATATTACAAGATTTGGACTCACTTAGTTCATCTGTTAATTTATTCTCGCGTATTATGTGAATGATTGTTTTAAGTTCTGGTAAATTTTTTGTTGGTATAACACCTTTAAACAACCTAAAAACAATTCATTAGTGGAATATAAAATAAAAAGAGAACTTATGAGTTTTCATGATAATAATTAAATACTTAATGAATAATTTAATTTCATAATACAGATAAAAATGAGGAGGCTGTATAAATTTCAGATTTCTTGTAAGGGGAAATTAGCTATGTTAAAGTTACTAATTTTCAAAAGAGCCTATACAAATTATAATTGTTCCAAAATAAATAAATATTCTCAATACCCCAGAAATTAATAACATTAAAGAAAATTACTTTTTGCAACAAATATTTTTCCTATATAAAAATTATTTTGTTAAAAATTAATATAAGAGGGATAGAAAAAAACTTTTGGATTTTATACCAAAAATATATTAGATGGATTTTACCATATATATAGTGTTCAAAAAGTAAGTAGATAGGTCAATTGTTACAAATGAGAATAATAGATATAATTTTCCTTACTTGCTGATCATCCTATCCTATATATATATATATATTATACTTATATCATATATTATTTAAGTATAAAAAATCATTATAGGAAAAATCTGTTTATTTCTTCAATTTTTTTCATTTAAAAAAAAAAATTTTAATTATACATTTTATGTAAACCTAAGATTTTATCACCATATTCCTACATATTAAAATAAATCAAATTAATGGTTGTAAATATTTCTAATGTACAATTACCCTTGACTTAATGAAGCAGGATTTCTAAAATTCTCTTTTATAAAGTGATCTTCACAAATTTTTTTTGTTTTATATAAGTACATAGATCCCTGTTCTAAGAATAAATCAATCAACTCTGTTCGTGCACAAGCAAAAGCCCATTGGCTACAACTAAAAAAAACAGTAACTATATTTTATAAAACTTATTATATAATATTTTATTAGAAAATATCTATTATCTTGTTATTTTTATATATTTGAAAGACAATAAAAATATTTTTAATACTTTTTTGTAGAAAAATTGAACTAGTGTTCTAATATTAAATTTACATTAAAAAAAAAGTATTTACAAAATATTTTTGCTAAATCAGTAAAGAAATATTTACTTAACATACTAGTAATCTTGTTTAGGAAACCTGAAGTAAGACTTTTTAGTATTGAGATCTATGTTATTTCTGCAGTTAGCAATTTCACATTTTGAAGCATGAGATGTTGACTTATTAATTATTTTTTCTTTGTTACTAACATTAGCCATTTGTTTAAAAGAGTTTATTAAAAAAATATATACATAACATTTTTCATTTTTAGCTCAATTATAGCATAAGTATAAAATTTTGATTGGATGTAATCTTCCTATATATATATAAATTTATATATATATAGATTTAATCAGATCAAACTAAGTACTCACTAAGTAACTTGAGGTCTATATAATATTTTATGCATAAACACGTGAAAAATGAGCTATATTATACGTAATAACAGAAACCGATAATATTCATCTCTCCAGTATAACATTAAGTAAATTAAGTTTACTATGCACCCACAAATTAGTGTTACCACATGTTGTAATCTAATTCTTTTTTTGAGTAATATATATTTTATATCATTTTGAACAATCAAAATATATTTTGAATTATCATTTATTCCTTAAAACTTCATTTAATAAACTTTCAAATTGGGAGTGACACATAGGGTAGTTACTCAATGGGGTAATAATAATAATTTGTGAACTGCTGATAATATTAACATTGATAAATGACGGGCAGGGTGACAAATATATTGTAAATGAAACATACCATAAATTCAATTATTGTAGCTGGATACACTACTTGAGCTCCTAATCAGAGTATCTGATTTCATTTAATTAGTGAAGAGAATTATCAAATAGTCTATTATCGGGTATATCCAGTGGTTTTTTCGAAACTACCTACTGTGATAAAAAATCTTTGTAGACCAGTGTATTTATATATAATTAAAAAAAAATTATTTTCTCAAAAGTTTTTCATCAAGCTCTTCAATTTTTATACACGTTTCCCAGAAAAATAACAAAATATACAATTACTTTATAATTTATTTTCCATAAAAATTACAATATTAAATTATTGAATATTAATTTCATACAATATTTAATTACTATAATTTTTATTTATTCGTGTATTTTACCTATAAATCAAAAAACTACTAATCTGGGTATAAATAAGGAAATAGGAATTCATTTTACTTTTGGTATAATCCACCAATTTTTTAAATTAAATATTATCTACAGATTTGCATTGAAGTGATTTTAATCATCGTCAGATATAATCTATAATTGTCTCAAGTATGACACTTCCACACTGTGCCGCGATACAACTATGCTACCTTTTTTTTTTCAAATTATGATCGCGATAGGTTCAACAAAATAAGATATATGATAATTTGACATATCGTCAAGAAAAATCGGTCTAATAGATGTTAGAAAAGTTGAGACAGACAAAAAAAAACTCTACTTTGATAATTTTGCACGCTATAGTATAATGAGTGTACTATTTTCTTCAAAATTTTATTTAACTTTCTGTTTTTTATTTAACTCAGCACTACATAAAATTTCCTTTACTTTGTTACAGTATAAAATTCTAAATTCTACCTGTTTTTTTGTAAATTAATCTGTGGCTTAAAAGATAATCCAAATTTCGCTCCCCATCATTGATTTTAGGTATATGCTTATTTAATTAAAAGTGTATAGTATACCGTTAACTTCGGTAGCATATTGAGAGAAAGGTAAGGATCCGGAGTAGAATTTTTATTGGAATATCTTTTTTTGGCCTAAATAGTATTGTATGAATTAGAATTTGATAAGTTGATATCTTTTGTAACATCAATATTTGAAATATATCAACTCAAGCAGCAAAGTATGATTTTTGTAAAGTACATCTCTTTAATTACCGTTCTTAGGACTTGGTTTGAAAACTCTAATTACAAATGAAGCAAATGTTTACTCTTGTTATGTGATTATTCTATTATTGCATTGAGTTTTATATTTTGATACTGATTATAATCAATCGAATAAACTCTTTCATAGTAAATTTACCAACAGAAAATTATGACATAAATTTTAATAAATGAACATAACTTGTGTTTAATATAAATCACAATATATATCTAAAAAAAATTATTTAAAAAAAAATTTCTTAACAAATTTCTTAGGTAAAAAGTGAATACTGAACATAATAGACGACACACAAATTTGTCTAAAGTATAAAATATTTAAAATAATATTTAAAAGAAATAGTTTACTGCGATACTACAATATAAGTCAGAGTTACCGTCAAAATCGAATAATATTATTGCTTAAAAAATATATATATATATATATTATTTTGATCAGAATACCAAGTTATTAGACTATATTCTAGTATCACATGTAATAACTTTTTTGTAAAAAAAAATCGCATATACATTTATTTCGGTCAAATAATAATTTAAAATACAACACAATAATAAAAAAATTAATAATTTAAAAGTATAACTGAGTTTGGTTCATTAAGTATTAAGCTATTAAAATTAAACTAAAAAATGATGAGAATTATGTTTTGTTCACCAAACCCATTGAGTTTCCACCAAATCAAAGTCCCAAACATCTGGATGTCCGTTATGCGGTAAATGTCGAATGGAACTATCGGACCATTGAAACGGTTGAACTTTGGAACGGTCTGCGGTAAAAGGCGGTCCAGCAGCTGCTAAAAATCCTTCCATCCGTATTGTTGTCACTTTTAAGTCTACAATACCTTCGTAATTCCTATCAATGTCCAGTCGTTCGTCGATCACAGCTGTAGCCGGAAGCTTATCAATGATAATTGTAGTACGATCATGCCTCAGTCGTGTCTTAGCATCTGGCCTCCGCTGTTTACCACTTTCATTCATCCACTGTCGGACCATCGACTGATTCCAAAAGTGTCGGAACATTGTATTTGTCTTGATACCCAATAGATCACTTCTACTAATCAATGACAAATCTGGCCCACGCATCAAATCTACCATTGACTGTACATCGGTGACGTTTTGTTGACCTTCGTGTAATACGTTTGCTATTGGATGGTCTGGTCGTAAGTTTTCGGCTGAATCAGATTTTACATACTCTTTATCGTTATTACTGAGTCGAATACAATCCTAGAAAAAAAGTGTTTAAATGTATTTTTATAAAAAAAATTTTATATGGTGACATTAGGAAATATATGATATATAGATATATGTTTAGTCTATACATATATAATTTAGCATAATTTTTATCTATCAATTGTGATTTATGCAAAATAAGCTACTTTATAATACATTGTAATTTAGTTAAAATCGTTATAAAATGTATAAAACTCATTTGTTTGGGATAAATTTAATTGTTTTATATTCAGTTAGATTTTCACGAAAAACTATAGCTTGCACATTACTAATCTTCAAAAAACCTAAAATCGGGTCAATATAGAAGAATCTATTAAAATTTTTATTAAGCTAAATACATGTTTTATTTACTTTATGGTAAGGATAGCTACTGCTAACCCAGTATCCATTAAATAAAATTTCCTGAGTTACGTCTCCAGAGCAATCGTAATCTGGTAATTGTTCAAAAACTTGAAAATCTATTGACGAATTATCTGTGTTAAGGACCAACCACTGCTTGTTACCTGTACCACTGTTTTTTCTAGTAAATATTTCTCCCCAACTTTTTCCATCCACAGCTAACCGGTTTGCTGCCATCACCCGAGGTCCCAACAACACCTAAAATAATAGGTTTTATTAAATTGAAAAATACAAAAATTATTAATAAAAGTGAGCTTCATAAGTTTATTTACTTGTTCCAGTTTCATAATCTTATCCCAAAGTAGCCTGTTATGATTTTGTATCTGTGTGCCTACTATTGTAGTTTGTGAACCTGGGTCTTCTCTAGTTATCTTGTAAAAATCGTCTTGTGAAAATATAGATCCTGGATATGATGTGAACTCTATGTTTCTACCATTGACGACCTCGCTATCAGAGTTATCGTCGATATGATAAGCGAAATTATATCGTTTTTTAATGCGTAGCATAGATCCGTAGCTAAGCATATTGAAAAAGAAATGAATATTGTATATCTCGGTAACATTTATAAAAACGTTTACTTACTATCCCGATGATGATGTACCTAAAACATAGTCAAACGGCTTATAATTAATAACTTTCAACAGTGCAACAGACAAACTGGGCCTATCTGGGTTCAAATCTTTCGAACTATTAAATTTTCTCTCAAAATCTTTCAAATCTGGCATAATATTCATCCATCTGAAAAAATATTAATTTAATTGAAAAAATTAATTTGAAATATCCACATAACGCTCTCTCTCTATATATTTTTTTATAACAGTACCCTCTAGATTAGTTCAGTTGCATAAGAAAATTATGTAGGCAAAATTTGGACGGTTTTACTCAACCCTTTCTGGTGCCGTATTGGGGTTGAAATTTGACATTGGAGGGTATTTTTTTATTTTTTGAGTTTAACTCGATAAGTATTACACTTAACGATAAAATATATAGAATGTTAATTGTAGAACTTATTATTGCCTATAGAAAAGGTATTAACAAAATTTTTTTATATATATTTTTATATACATATATCAATTATACTTTAAGAATAATAATAAAACATGATAAGTTTTATGAAAAGTTAATATAATACTTTTACAGAAATTTTTTATAAAACTAGTATTTCTAAAATATCATATTACGTGAAAAATATTTAAAAAGTCAACTATTTAATTATGACTTAAAATAAGTAAAAAAAAATTGTGTTATATATTATAAAAACATAATTATTATCATAGGACCTATTAACTATCAAATTACTGGAAGTAAAATGCCCTCTGTAAAAAATTGTTTAAGCATGTTATATTATAATTTAAGAATTGCACAATTGAATTTGTACAAAAGCGCGGTGCTTGTGGAAAACGAATGCCCAATATCATTAGATCCCCATATATATATATATATGGTTTAAACCGATCATCAATTAAAAGGTATTGTGAAAGTTACTGACTTAAAATTGGAGAAAATATTAATTCTAAATTTCATGATTAAAATTTTAATTTTGTTGTGATCCATTGGGACATAAAAATACTTTTTGCCATTACAAAAAAACAATGTAGATCGTTTTTCTATTAGTACAACGGTCTTAAATATTGAACAGTTTTTTTGAATCCCTCATAAACCCTCAGGGACAGGTTTATGATACAGAAGATCATCAGCTGTTTTTGAAGCTTTGCTCAAATGATTACTATTAGAAAAATTACAAATCTTTAGGTTTGATATTACGACCTGTAATATCATACGACTTAATGGGGCATGTGTTTTGTTGGAACAACGTTTTGAAAGAGAATTATTATTCTTGGCATGCCGACGCCATAATTATTATATTATAATTTAAGAATTGTAAAATTGAATTTGATTGTAAAATTTTGCCTACATAATTTTCTTATACAACTTAACTACTAATCTAGAGGGTAATGTGGAAAAAATATTTTTAAAAAATGTTTACCTAAATAAATATACATGTATAACACAGACATATATATATATATACATGGAAAACAACTTACAAGAAATCAATGGAAGGTATATCAATGTCTTGTCGACTTCTCTTCACTCCAAATCGCCAACCTTCTTCAAGGTTTTTAAGTTGAATGTAGAATAAGTTAACCTAATTAAATAAAGTTAGAAAATGATTACTGTTTTACTTATTGATTTAGTTCTTGATAGATATAATATTGAACAAAATTTTGATATAAATTTTTTTTTGTGTAGGAATACTAACATGGTGCCAAAATGGATCGTTATCGTGTTTATCTGCCAATCTTTTAACCTCTTTAGAATTTTCTTCTAAAAACTTTCTCATCTTTTCACAGTAACGTTTTCTTCCAACACAAGTATTTTCTACAGTATTTTTCCAATGCCAATGAATCATCTGCCATGATAAGCTACCCTCTAAAAACCCGGCTGCCATTGCTTGCACTGAGTCTGGATATTCCTCTTGAGTTTCAATTTCTAAATCGGCCCATCTAAATGATTATAGATATTATAATATGGATGTCATAATATTATAAATTTCAAAAATAGTAACAAAAATTATACAGTAACACTTACCCATTCTTAAATACATCCGGACTGTAATAAGCTCTGGCAGCGCCCTTTCGGATACTCGATGGATCATTGTTTTGACCCCAAAAACTAATACGCAATCCACTTTCTTTGCTCCAGAATACTGTAGCGGCATATTTTCCATCGTTTTCGTCCCTGAAATAAATTATTAGCTAATAATTTTTCAATAACTAACTTACTTACTTTACTTACGTGATAGAGTCTCCAAAATAGAATGACAAAAGTCCTAACAAAGTTATTGTGACTATCAAACACCATGATAACTTTGTTTGAGCCCATGATGCTCCAACAACTTTCAACATTATCGTCACTATAATAAAAATAAACAAAAATGCATATATGTTTTGTGTTTGAAAAATAATTGTTGTCTAGTTGAATTCAACTCTAACCTTTCACAGTCCAATTGATAAAAGTCAATTTTTTTTGTTATAAAATAATTATCCAATAAGTGTCTCCTTCGGCCTTTGAACCGTCTATGAATATAGGATTGCCAGGCTCTGGAAACTAGCAGTTATTCTTCTCAACCCATCGAAATAAAGAATATGATCTTGCCACGCTTCTATTAGCTTAAATCACCAGTATTAGTCGTCTTTGGTATGATATTTGAATGACCCCTAAGAAAATAAAAGCTTAAATGATTATATTTTGATTTAAAAAGATATATTTATTTAAATGATGTAAATTAATAGGGATAAATTTTTTTTACAAGAACAATGGCAATTAGAATCGAATTTTTGTAATTAATTATATATATATATATATATATTATTATAATTAATTATATATATTTATTCTATACATTATACAGCTCACTAAAATAAACTATAAAATCTTAAGTTTTATTTATATTGTAGATGTTTAGAGAAAACTTTATACCGACATGGCGCTTTCTGTATGCAATTTCAATGCTTTAATGTGAATAATTGATTATTATCAGGCGCACTCAAAGCATTTTTTGTTGTTAGTAAGATAACAGGAGTTGACCTCATTGATTTCAATTATAAGAAATAATTTGATTATAATTAGTGCACTTATATGAGCTGTATCTATTGTATTTTCTGAGCGTAATCGATATATACTTCACATTTAGGAATATGATACTTGCAGATATTTAAAAAGAGTTTTGATTTTATTAATATGCTATATGATAATGTATTAAATTTCGCTTTGTTGCGTTTTAATATTCCAACCGTACTATATAACCTTGTCCAATAAAGGTAAATTTTAATTAAATATTTAAACATTTTGAAAATCTTTAAAACTACGCAAACTGTCCTGCCACGCATACTTCAAAACTAAGTATTGGTTAAGAAACCTTTGACACAGAATGTTCTAATGTATGGAAAATACATATTCTTACCTATTCTTGCTGAATAGACTTACGAAATCGTTTTCAAGTTTTATAAAAAAATTATATGTACTTAAAAATTAAGTCACCAATAAATCAACTGGAAGTAATTCGCATGCTTTGAATAGGATGCGTTCAATCGGGTAATAAACTTGAGGACCTTGATACGTTTCTTGTTCCAAGAGTCTATGACCTTAACGAGGTCGGAATGTTCAATACTATTATGCGTGAGTAATTGTTTTTTTTTATTTACTCGGATGTAAAGAGTGAAAATGTTAGTCCTCTGTATAATAATATTAAAGATGAATTTTATGAAGTAGTGAAACAGGACAAGTCTGACGCACAATAGGATACGACCGCTATGTCTGAAGGCCAAGATCTCTGAATTCTGCACCTGGTTGGTGTTCAAACTGTAATCATCACATCAAGGGACTTGATGTAAATAAGCGCGGTGCTATTTTACACATTACTTATGATAAATACATTTTTGAATTCATAGTTTATGTTAATTCAATTCTACAGAGTAATTTTGAAAGTCTATTCTTCTATATGCATACAAAATATAGTGAAGAGAAATTCTAGTTAAATTATTTTTAGTAAACTAGTAGTGTACTAAAGACTACAACACAACAGGATTTAGAATCCTATACAATGTACAATTCAGGATTTTTACATAATTATATAAAGAAAAGAAAATCCATCATTTATCAAAGTCCAAGTTACTATATAAGTTATATATTCATGATTTTCTGAATAGAAATTATAATTTAAGAATTCGTTAACTATTGGATTATAGCTTATAATTTAAAAATCATTTGCTTTGTGTATTAGTTGTACTATTATAGCAAGTGTGACAATGGCAATTTTTTATTATTATGATTAATTATCGTTTCTCTTTGGTATAACAGAGGATTAATCTACAAAAAATATTGTGTATGAGACTCATCACTAGAGTGATTTGACATATATTGACTTTGTCTGTACAAGAATCGCGCCAAAACAATGTAGTAATAAATACTTAAACCTAAGATAAATATTTACCAATTATAAGCTAGATAAAATTTTGTTTGTCACGGAAATCATATTAATAACACGTCATACGGAAAAATACCACATAATAATAATCTTTTTTTTTCATTAGTGTTTTTCGTTTTTATGATGAATGAAGTGTATTAAAGTTTTATGTGTTTGGACGATTTGTCCATCGTATGCTATGCATAAAATTAAAAGTATTGTATGGAATCAATCAATTGAATAACTTACATCACGGATACATTAAAAAAAAAAAAATGTTATCGGTACTCATGTAAATTAAATTAACACTAAATTATTTGGTAGTTACTTTAAACGAATAACGAATATGTACACGTGTTATTCGTTTAAAAATTATATGAAACAATAATAAAAATATAATAGCAACTAATTTTTAATTTTTATAGTCGTTTTGCACATAAAATAAAAAACAATCGGAATATTTTAACTTGTAAACAATATTCTAAATAGTTAATCGCCTATAGATGTATTATATCTTTACTTCATGTCAAATTCTGTAGCTTATTAATGCGTCGTGTAAGCTACACAATAGGCAAAATTTTGCTACCAAGCCGTGCGGTACATACATATGTATGTTTATAAATAAACTTAGACAAGAAATTAACTCTTGTAAGATTTGGCCTGTAGTATAGAATTCAACTCACGTGTGACACGGCATAAAGCAAAAAAACCTTTTCAACAGTTTTAACAGCCACAATGTACGTCATTGGCTAAAAAAATAGCAACTTGGAAATATATTTTTAATATAGAGAATTCGAGTTTTGTCTATGAAACAATTGCATAAGCTGTTGTACAAATTTAATTTGTTTTATTACCTTTTTCTTTTGCAGCTGTCAACAATTATTATCTCATTTAACATTTAATTGAATGCCGTTTAACGGAAAAGTTAACGAATTAAAATAATTCAATGTTGCGCATAGCACACTGTAAAAATAATCCAAAAATTGTATAATATTTTTAATATATACGTGAATGTTACACACAAGTAGTGTGATTTGATATTAAGTATCAACATTTTATACACAAATATAAAATTTTTATCACTGTTTATCAACATTTTCCCTTACATTGTATGCGTTAATAATTTCTAGTACATATATGTAAAAATTTAGACATTTTATTTTATCTTATTCATTGGCGTTTGTTTGCAAACGCTTCTTGCAATAATTCTTCTATTAAATTAGATGTTTATTAACATATTTCGTATTTATAAAAATAACAAAAACATGGCAATATTACTATTTATTATTTTATGACATGATCATAAGAAAATAATTTGGCCAGGATTTTGATTAATTTTTATGATGTTTCACTTAAATAGCTTATATATATATATATATATATATATATATGCTCTTTACACTAATTTTCGTTCGTCCTTTTGATCGTCTCGTAAAAATATTAAATGAATTCTTATATATCTATGAACAGTCAATGTCAAACTTCATAACGTTTTAAAAATTGTTAAACTATTATAAACGCAATATATTTTGAAACGTTCGACGTCGTTTTAAAGGAAACACCCGCGGCATTGGTAGTACAATACGCCTTATTGTAAAATCTAGTAGAAGTATTTATATGTTTTATGTATTATAAGAAGCTATACCAGAGTTTCTTTCACGTGCCCCTCAATCGAACAAGATCATGTGCAACCATTTAAATTTAAACTCCGTTATGACAAGAAACTGTTTTTATTTATCTTGAAAAATAAATAGTTAATGTTATAATTAAAAATAATTGTGTCCACGTCATTGCTATTTGAAAGTTTCAATAGCATGTCCGCAATAGTGTGCGAAATCACGCTCTCTCTAAATTAACGTCGATTATAATATTACAACACTATTGGCCAAGTAACTTCCATACTTCACTACTACCGTATCCACGTGTCACGTTGAGTCTTTTGCGTGACATATATTTTGCTGACTGTTTCAATTGCACACATTCATTTGCCAGCAGCAGATGTCTTCGATAACTAATTTTGCAGAATCCACGTAGGATAAAATGGGGTGAATATAAATTAATACCTAATTGCAAACATATTTTTACACGAGTATAACGAATCTAAGGATTAAAACTCTACAATTCAAATTAATATCCGCTGAACGCTTTAGGAGAAAAATCCCACTAATTATTAATATTTTTTTCAATTTCGAACATTATAGTTCACTTTGTCATATTATTTATATACGACGATTTTTTACCGTTCGATAAAATTCGTTAGTTACGATTAATTGTTGAAACTGTGTGGTTATAAATAAGGTACACAGGCGGTTATCACTTGGCTAGAACACCATTTTTCATGACTAACTTCTACAAAACTGTTAACTTAAACAAATATCTTATTAATTACATTTATATAAGCATTTAAAGCTCACAGAAAATTGACAATTTTCATTAGTTTATTTTGACTTTATAAGTAATAATATTCTATTAATGAATAACGGCGTAGTATGATTTTTAAATACGACACACTAGAGCTATTAAATCAACACGGATATATATGTTAAAAATGACGTATTGACTTAAATGAAATTCTGGAACAATTATTTTTTCGTCGCTTATCAATAATTAATTAACGTAGAGCTCCAGAACGAGGAAGCGTTACAACATTTATATACTGAGACATAATTAACTGTTATTAAAAAAGAATGATCAAATTCATAGCCTAGTGTTATGTATGAACAAGTTCACAATTAAACTTGGTGATTATTCACTGTGACGATCTATAATAAGTATAAAAATTATAAGACTAATAATTATTTTTTGATACGTCATTGGAATTCAAATTGATCATGTCATTTGCCAGTTTTTAAATGATAAAATTTTAAACTGCAAATTCATGTTATACAATAATATGATTAATCGTACAGGAAAGCATATCTATTACTCAATCAGTCGATACTCGTGTATATGCAACTACCGCGTTTACAAAAATAGCTTTCAAGAATATTAGATCTGATCCGGAAAGTACAAACTGCACTTCGACCAAACTGTCAGTAATATTATGTTGTGGTGAATACTTTGTGTGTGCATCAGAGATTTAATTTGTTATGTACGATCAAAAAGAAAAATAATTTTGCCATTTATGAACTGAATAGATTACACAACGTCTAATATACATTTATCATAAAGTACATTCAAATTATTACATAAATATATTATTTACATTTATTATACCTACTTAAAAATTCTAATGTAAACTTTATCTATTCGCTCCCTTAGAAAAGAATAATATTATGTTTTGAAACTAACAAATTCAACAGTAGCACTTGTTTCACTTATAAAGCACTACAGGAAAATGTACAACTCGAATATTACAATATGTATCCACCAACGTTTAAAGTTATGTTTCATGGCCAAACTTAATAGCAGTAGATGTATTTATAAAAAAAAAATTGTTCGTTAAAAAATTTCCTGGTAGATATTTTGTAAAAAATCTTTCCGGTGTTTAGCTGAATTTAAATGCTATTTTTTAACATTCAACGGATTATTTATTATTTAATATTCAAATGCCCTGTCTTTTAAGTGCACTTTTATTTTAAATTGCTCTTAAGCTTATTATCAGTCAAACACATAATAATGTTAATCTGTTTAGTGGCATTAATGTCATGGAATAGGTATTGAATGTAAAATATTCAGTAGCAATAATGAGCCTGAATATTAGAAAATATTGAGAAAAATAAATATAAATAGAGAACCGCATAGTAGTCATTAAATATTGATATTCATTAGTATATGTGTAATCATAAAAATGTTGTACAGGTTTCATTGACAAACTAAACATACAATAAGAATGTATCGCATCGATGTGTACCGCTATAAAAATTTTTTAATCTATTATGAAAATTGTTCAAACAATATTTGGAAAATAGACGATAAACTTGTAAAATTAATGCTGTTTTACTGAGTAAATTTAGTATTATTTTTAATTCGTCGTTTTTGTACGTAATAATTAACACTAATAATAAGATGTGTTTGAAATTATTATTTTATTAATTGCACAAACGGAGTTTTTAGATGGCGAAAATCCGGTTCTCACGTATATAATCGGAGAAAACCATGTGCGACCAACATGAGTAGTATTATGTTCCATTGAATTGCCTTAACTATCGGAGATGAGTGTTCGCATGTTTTTAACGATTTTTATATAGGAAAAAAACTTGGTAATGTAAAGAGACGAGTAAATAAGTGTATTTACTATTATGTAGCATTTTATGGGTTACGATGTATAAACGAAAACTTAAACAAATACATATAACGGGATGCGGATCTAACGATTAACCACATTTATTGTTTTTCGCCATAGCCCGAGGACGTTGTGTAAACATCAAAAATATTATTTTATTATGTTAAAAATAATATGTTCGATATAATCGCTATCAACATGAACACACACTAGCAGTAAAAATAATATGAAAACATTGCATTAATGAGTGACGATCATAAAAGAGATAGACTTGTAGATGGGATATTCATCACAGATTATATACTGTTAGAAATAAGCAAAAATAGAAGAAGAAAACGACGAGGAAAACCAATGTCAGAGTAATGAATATTAATATCTTTAAGCACACTTACCGGAATCACGATAGAACAGAAAGTAAAGGGCTCTGTACATAACTTTATGAGACTTCGATGCTAGCGATTTTGGTTTCGAGTAAACCATACAAAACGTTGGAAAATTGGACGAGTTAGCGTTACAGTAGGACTCAGATGGCGAGCGAAAGGGTTAAAGAATTAAATAAAAACATTTAAGCAAATATTAAATTTTGGACGAAAGTTGTTGTTCTGCGTGCGACTGTCGGTTGTGCACTGACTATAGTCTCTTTTGGCATTGGACTTTTATACGCCTAACGCAATAACGTAAGCTGCCCGCCGGCGTGAACAGTATAATAATCAACGTCGATGATAATAATGATAATAATATCATGTGTAACGGGCGTTGCATTGTTTCCCGTTGACAGACAATATCAACAGATATACTGCTATATAATTAGACTCTAGACAACACCGTCTAGCTACAATTCTCAATAGTTGTAATTATTGGAATAACTGCTGTAATTATAAATTTATGTGTATTGTCTAGTGATAATAGCCGTTTAGACTTTCTGTATTGAGCTGCATACCTCTGACTCATTTTAAATTTCTTTCAGTGAGTGTGGTTTAACTAAATTTTTTTATCCATGCATTTATAAAATTAACAGCTCAACGGACGATTTCCACTAAGTTTAAAAGGTCTCTAGTTGATTTATGAAAAAATGGTATCTCATCAAAACTAATTTTAATTGTAAGTAATTAATAATTATTCCAAATATTTTTCTGGGTAAAATTAAACATGTGAATTTACGCAAAAATAGATCTCTAAACTATAATTTGTTTTGTAATGGGCGAGGGGTTATTAAGTATTTATTCTATTTGTTTAAGTATTTTCAATATTAGTGTTAGTTGATATATAAATATAAACATTTTTTTTTAGATTTTTAACTACAACATTTTTTTTAGTGATGGGCATTTTCGAATAGTTTTTATACAACCGAATAGTTTATTTTCAGCATAAACTATTCGAATGGGCTACCGAATGTTTTTAAAAAATATTCGATTAGTTCTACCTAAAATTTTTTATTAAGTATACTTAATTATAATAAGAAGATAATTAACGAATACTTATAAATAAATTATTATACAATTAATAATAGTAAAAATTAGTGATTGGCAATTTCAAATATTTTAAACTATCGTATAACTATTCAAATTGTTTTTATACAACCGAATAGTTTATTTTTAGCATAAACTATCGAATAGTTTTAAAAACTATTCAAATAGACTATCGAATATTTTTACTATTCGAATATTTTTTGAATGACTATCGAATAGTTCGATAGTTTCTATTCGATATTTCCCATCACTAATTATTTTGGTATTAAATAAAACAAAATATATTATATAGTTAATTTAATACAATATTAAATTGCATGTACAAAGTACAACGTAATTATAATTAATTAAACGCATTACTAATTTTAATACCATGTGAGATGCATTACACTTATTTCTAAATTTCGCATATTATTTTAGCGATTGAAAAATTTATATCCTAACACGCTTTAGTCTGACGCTTGTCTAAATAATATTTCGCTGTTGGGGAAAAAATAACTATCATTCGATTACATGGTATTTTTTTTAAAAAGCTCACATATTTTTTATCTTTAACTTGTATTACTACAAGTTTCTATGTAAATTATTCTATAATAAAGGTTATAATAGCGGCAAGTCAAAACGTGTTCTTAATTTCTTACAAAAACATTGTATATACTCATTTGTATATCATCCATAGCAAATAATTAAATTAAAAGTGTAACGCAAAGGCAAAAAGAGCTGTCAATTCATTATAGTGCAACAGCTATGTAACAAAAAAGAATGTCGCCGCTCGCATTTTTTGTTCCTCAAAAAAAAAAAAAAAAAAAAAGTTTAAAAATAGTAATTATAGTATTTAATTGACTATTGATAATTAGGAGACGTAGAAGAAATATCAAATCAAAGCACTAATTAGATATATAATTTTTAAATGTACTTACAGTAATTGTAATACCTTACATGGTTTAGTTAACCATCAAATAGGAACTGGTACAATATGTAGGTCACTTGAATCCGGAATTTTGATTAAGTTTAAGGCGAGGAGCTTATATTGTTTGTTTTTATAAATCGTGTTAATGTACCCGTAGTACTTGGTGTGTATAATACCTTATGGCTAAAAATATGTCCATAAACGTGAAAAATAGTAAACTATTTACTAGAAAATAACTGTTTTAAAACGATTACTTTAACACGACAACGGAAACTTAAAAAAAAATAATTGTTTGTCATTAAATATAATCGCTAAAGGAATGATATCAGACGATGGAGACGTCAAGTTCAATCAAACAATACAGTGAATCTAAACAATTCGCTAGTGTTATTCAGGTATTTGTAAATAGATAAAAACTACTTTAAATGTAAATCAATAAAATTAATCGATTGAAATACTGAGTTGAGTATTTATCATAAGCGTATGGTTTGAAGCATTGATGTTGAAACATCATTAATTTCTAGTTAGTGACCAGCCACTACAAATCATATACATTACACTATTATACCATACCAACTATCGTTACCGCGAATATTCCTTAGAATTTTTAGGCTATGGGGAAATTTTGACGAAGAAAATAGTTTAAATTAAAGTAGACATGTATTACTTACCACTAATTTTTTGATATTCAACGAATAGGCTAATGTTGTTAGGGGCTGATTATTTTTTAAATGCGCCAAATTAGAAAGTTGGTTGATTGAATAAAACTCGGTAATTAATTTAGCAAAGAAACAGTGTTTATTATACTAAAATGACGTCTCAATGTAAAATAATATTCTTTGTACTTGCTCAAAATTTTATACAAGGTAATGTTGTATAAACGAATCACATGTCTCTACAAGTTGCGATTTGTATATTGTTGTGTAAAAACATATGGATATTAAAATGGCTTTTTTAGTCAAAGCCATTTACTGTAGTGTTATTAAATTTTTTTTAGTGAAAAACTAAACGAGATGATAACATGAATAATTCATCAAAAAAACAATAATGCATCTAACTCAGTAACATGATAGAATATTTAAATAATAAAGTTTCAACGTATTTTAAATTCGTCACATTTTAATTTTTCACACGGTATGCATTAAATATTTTGTTTGAAAACTGTCATAATTTTATAATTTACAATAAATAAATTAGTTCATTTCAATTTGTCATAAAAATAACGTAGTAAATATTAGAACAATTTTTTTTATAAAATTAAAAATAAAATAGGAAATATTTGTATAAGAATAAATATCAAATAGTTCAAACAAAATTGGTTATTTTGTGGAAGACCGCTCAGTTCAAAGGATTTAGAAGATTATCAAAGCATGAAATGTTAACGGATATATAATGACACATGTTATTGCCTTTGAAACTTTTTTCACATTCCGCTTTATTTTAAGTAAACGTATACGTATTTTATACATTTTTTACCGGTACCACAGATTCAACAACAAAATTATCATTTGAACGATAATGAGTTAAAGTTACTGAATAATCTGAGTAAATATGGTTGACTATACTATTGTAGTTTTATTTAGCGTGGTAAACATGTAATGTGTTATATTGCGATGGAACCCTAAACAGTCATTGTTAAAGTATAGTTTGGTTCCAAAACAAGGTCAAAAAGTATTTTTGGACTCGTGTTGTATATTGTTAATTATTGAAATATCAATTTGCTATTGAACGACGCAATGTGCTGTATTGTCTCAAGTACAAGGCTGTTTAGGATGAAAAAGTTACAATAGTAAATTATTGTAATATTAATATTTTTATCACAGGAACATCATAATACTTGAAGGTCAACTCCAATAGGCGTCAAACTTTTCCATAAAAGAAATCGATTATTTTTGACAATCTCTGTTTAAATGGTTTGATCGTGATTCGTCAGTGTTTTGGATTAAATGTCGTGTAAGTAATACACAGTTCAGGCTATTAATTCAATATAATAAAAATTTATAGTCTTATACACTTAAACAATGATGAGAATTACGTCATGGTTAAATTATTTATAAGTGAAAAATAAAATCGAAATTAAAAATCTAATCGTAATAGATGTGTATCAAAAGTATGTTTATTGTGTAATATTACTAAAAATGCGTGTTGTACTGCAGAATAATCAAATATTAATTCTCATAAAGTAAATAATTTATTAGACGATTGTTTCAGATTGAATATAAGGAAAGTGTATTTAACCAAATTATCATCTGCATAAATAAATAATATTTGTACCGATCGCGTTTGCATTTAGCCTAGGGATATTTGGGTTGGCCAACTTTCATTAAATTTACTCTGTTCAAGTCAAAGGCGTAAATATTGAAAGAAATTTGGGTGTGCTAAATGTAATTTTGACCCACTTTAATACTACTATTATCAGGGTTGTTAAAAAACATGTTTAAAACGTCCCATAAGATCTATGTAATTTTCAAAACTTATGTGGGTGCTAAACAACCAAAGCACTCATCTATTTGCATCTGTGGTCCATGACTAGTCCTCCAATTAAATTTTTTTTTTAATTTTACTGAATTTCAAGAATACGCTAGGGGTTATGCACATTGAATTAAAACTAAATTAATAATAATTGAAATTTTTTATTGCAAACGAATTATGGAAGAACTCAAAATAATTGTTCTTTTTTCAGACATTTCCTGAATACGTGCCTGTAATCACATCTTGTTACTTTAAAATTCAGTTATGAACGATCATTGGAAGTTTTCTTATACTGACACATTTTACAATGTGTTTAAAGAGCTGATAATACTGTTTTTAAAATTTCCATCACTTTATAAGTTGAGAACGAGAATGATATATCTTGTTTTATTTTCATTTGATAGCAAATATATAGATCGATATCAGCTGTTATCAATGGATTGCAAATTTAAAATACTTTGAATTCTTCAGATAGTGTAATCTAGTAAAGTTCAAGAACCGTATCTTTAGACATATTCTATAACTTTTGTAAATAATAAAGATAAAATCATTTTACCATTTAAAAATTTCTACTTTTTTTAGTTGAGATAGCTTATTTTTTGTGCAAAAAAAAATTTATACCAGAAGATACGTAAAATGTGTTTGTTCTAATTATTATAAATATACATGTTTTACGAATAAATTTATAGGATTCGTATTTAATGAAAAACTCTTCTGCACCTAAATAGATTAGAATAATTCGCAATTTTAAATAATACACTAAAAACATCATTAAACGTTTAATCGAATATCTTTGTTTAGATTCAACATTTTATAAAAATTATCAGCATATTTCATACAATTTTGTTGTGGGTGGTCGACATGTGCTACATTTTTTTTTTTTTTGGTCAATCGTCCTACGTCATTAAAAAATCGAGTTTGACATAGAAATTCAATAATTAAAACTAAAGCGAAGTGAAGATTGTGTAAGGTCACGGATCTTTTGATTGCGAAATTGTATTTGATTAAACAAAAAATATATAATATCCTTCCAGTTTCAATTTTTGTGGCGATAAGAGACTGAAAAGAACATTAATATTTACAATTAATGTGTAAGATTACATTTAATCGTATACGTGTGTTAAATTAATTGCTGATAATTATAACGACTTAACTTTTAAGTAGTAAAAATACACGAGAATAATATTAACAGAGAAATTTAATTAGTATTTATAATGCAATTGGCAATTTGAGGTAAATGATAATTATATAAAAAATTTTTATCGAATGAATATAATTTATTGAACAAATATTTTACATTAAAAGTTCAAAGATGAAAAAGAATTTTAAGATAAATATAAAAGATTTAATTAACTAAATAAATATAAATGAATATTTTTTAATTATAGTGAGTTAATCATTGTTGGAACTTTTTAGTTAATATCTTCATATGTTATGTTACATATTTTCATACGGATAGATGGGCATAAGAAGATAAGAAGTTGAGTCTAGGTTACATATTTATACTTTTTGTCCAGCATAAAAAATCATAAGATATGTGAATCTACTTTTTTTTAATCAAATAAAAATTGGTAATTATAATTTAAAATGTTATTTTTTTAGATTTAAGTGAATCTACAAGTAAAATAATGAAATATGATTTATAAATAGTGTGAATGCCTGATTTAAAATATCTATTTCTAATACATCTTATGCAAAAAAAATGTATTCATATTTTTTTGGCACACTTATCATATTTGCCCCCATATATGATAAAGTGTTAAATAGGCAATTGAAATTTTTTCAAGATAAATTTTGTCGTCATAATTCATAGTAAAATATATCGTATACTTAAATGAAGTAATCGTCCTTATGAATAACAATTGATTAGAAAGAATTATTTGAGAGAACAAAATATTCGCGATTATTTCAACGTCACAAATTAAATAAATAGTAAGTAGTATTGATAGTAAATATTATCCACTAGTTACGTCCTATTTACACAATAATTATGTACACTTGGATTTCACTAAGATTATAACACTATACAACATAACTGTGCTATTTTAGCTTCGATGCGAAGCTGAGAAGGTATTCATTTTACTATGATGTGATTTTTTTTGTTTTTGTGTCTGTTACCACTTTTTCTCAGCACTCACCGAACCGATTTCTTTCAACAATACATCAAAACATCACAAATTGTATCTAGTCGTAGACATTGCCATTAAAAATTGAAAAAATTTCCCCGTAAATGGGGGAAATATGCAAAAAGTTACAATTTTTAAAATCGGCAAATTTTGACATTTTTTTCCTTAAAACTGCCATATATTTTTTAAAAATGAACAAATCAATATAATTTTTTTTCATAGATACGTTAGATATTTATTTATTATTTAGTATATTTTTGTGAAAATCTGTCCATTTACTTACATTACAGGGATGGTTTCAAAATGGGCACGAAAAATTAACTTTTGAAAATGTTCCGGAAATACTGACAGTTTTATATACATTTTAAATTAAATATTATGTAATAGATTTTAATTTGAAAAAAAAATGACCTCTGGACTTGAAACGTCAATGGACTGCACTTATTGTTATTTTTCGATTTTGCGAATCGACCGGTTTTATTTTACAAAAACAAAGTTGCTCTTGCAAACTGCATTTGTACTATTATGTATTTAGGTGTTTATAAAACAATACAAACACACGCGCACCTGTGGACTATAATTTATCATTATAATAATAATAAACCACGTGCCAATGACAAAGTGTAATTGTGAAATAGTTAAAAGCCAATTGGTATTAATCACACGGGTATCGTTTCTCTTGTGCCGATCGTATGTTCATTATTAATGAATTTTAATTGTGTGTTTAGCCTTAACACTTAACCGATACATTGTTATGTCACTATGAGCTGACGAGTCACACGCATTTAAATTATAGCGATTACATTATGGAAATTTTTCCTTGCTGCATGTCGATGGATAATTATTTATTTTGATTTATGTTTGTTAAACTTTACTGGAAGTTCAGTATGGACGTATAGACCTGAGAACGCCGGCCGTTCAACTCTTGACTAGAATAAATTATTGTTTTGCCGCCCCCAATCAACGTGCACGCATCTGGCCCGAACACCCGTCGATTGGGGACGAGGAATTTTTTCATCAGACACAATCGGCGTGTATACACCAATAAGAGGGTAAGTCTTGTCTACCTGAACGTTACCACGCGTATATGTTTGTTATATACAATAACCTACATGTACAATACATGTATTTATTGAGGACAGTCAGAGATCCGTTTTAGATTATTATTATATTCAAGACGAACGAAGATGGAAGACGTTTGTTTCGAACAAACGAAAAAGTTTGGTCACACGAATTCCATTTTTTTTAATCGTCTTTTTTTTTATTATTACATAATAACATTATAGTAGCCACGTGTACGTTTGTCATTTTGGACAACCGTATAATCAGTAGAGGCAACTAGGATAAATCGTGATGATGACACGACAAGAGTTCGCCTAGAAATTGTATTGCTATTGGTCATATTACATAGGAGAAAATTCTATGCATTGATAATAAACCCATTTTTAAAGGGTCTAAAACTGTTAATGTTGCTGTCTATCGTATCTCCTACTATGGCTATTATAGTATTATATTACACTATGGACGAGTGCAGTTTTTCACACACAGTATAATTGCAATAACTGTAAAACGATAATATTATCTCTTTACTTTTACAGGGAAAAAAATTCGCGCCTACCAATCGCTTCTAGAAAATTATTTTATCGTCATCGAATGCAATACTTTAAGAGACAATTTTCAGTTACGCGTAGTTGTACTGAATTATTACCTGTAACGTCGATCAATCTCTGGTACTGAGACACAATTTCTAGACGTGTGTTCTTCATTCAAAAACGATGATTCGGCACGCGATAATTTGCCCGAGCGTAAACGGGGCGGAAAATTCGCGGGACGGAACCGCGATCGAAACTGGCGTACGGCACGCGCGAACAAGAGAGGGCGGCCACGATTAGTGCCGGTGCTGCGGTGTTGTTGTCGGGTCGACTGAACGAAAGAGAGGTGCTCGTGGTCGCCGCCGCCGCCGATGTCTGGACCGCGGCAGACGGGACCCCTCTATATAGGGTTACGCGCACTGCGTGGTCAATGGTGGCCAAAATGCGCACGGCGTGTTTTATGATAATAACTGTTTTAAATACACGCGGTGACTACCTTAGTCATTATGTTTACTAAACGTGTTTAAAGAGTGAAAAATGTATACAATTTTTGTTGTCTTCTCTTACAAATATATTGTCCCACAGAAAAACACGAGGAAACTCTTGTTCTCAACGATGTCGGTGTTCTTGTTCGGCCGTTGTACACATTGCACGGGTTGAACGACCTGATCGCGGGACGAACCCCCGGTGAACTCCTGTGACACTGAGTGTTGTATTTATGTGTGTGCGCGAACGAGTGTGTTATTGTCTATTTAACACAACCAAGAAGTACCCATTTAATGAAATACACAAAAAGATGTATTGTGTAGAATCCAGTAAACATAACGTTTGTTAGCTGTATGGGTCTCATCAAAACGCTTTTTTTAGTTACAATTTTCTCATGACCTACTCGAGATCACCGTCATTGCGATACTACTTCGTTTCTTCCAAAAATATGATGGCAACATGCTGCTGGAGAAATACATGTTTATGATAAGTCGGTGTTTCTGTGAACCCCTGGTCTATATGTGCGTACGTTGTACAATTAGTGCACAAATATTAAATGTATAAAACATAAGGTATAAGTTGGCGTTGTAGGAAGTAACCGCACTACTACTGTTATCGAAGAAGCCGTACCGTAACCCAATAGTAGTAGTTGTAGTAGTAGTAACTGTAAAAATAGTAGTACTCCATAGAAATCCACCAATCGTAGCTCACAGTTTTCCGTTAACATTGTACCAGTTGAAATTTTTATCATGGCTAAATTAAAATGGTTGTAAAAGAAAAAGAAAATTTTTACAAATATAAGTTCAGAAAACTTATTAAATTTTTATATTATTGGTATCATTAAATTGAAGGTAATTCGATTGATTGAATCTACTGATAAAATCTACAGTTCAGATCCGCAAAATTCATTTATTGTTTTACCAATGCCTATGGTAACTTATTGCATTATAAAATTGTCAAACGTTATCAGTTTTCAAACGTCATGTTTGCTAGGTTAATTAAAAATGTATTTTTATCTCTTTATGAAGGCAACGTATTTAGATAAAAATAAAATAAATTAAAAGAAAATATTTATTTAAAGAATTAGTGTTGTGTAGTAAGTCAATGTCGTATTACGGTATTTTTATAGAGGTCGTCGCTTGACAAAAAATATAAAATTATAATGTAATGGATAATGGGATCAAGTAGTCTGTAATAAATTCTATTTCAATATCTCTATAAATCCCGACAATAAGGAACTAATTTACAACAAAAACATTTAGACGTTAATAATTACTACATTTATAAATATAAGCAAAATTATTCATAGATAAAAGACGCTTTGCTAATCCACGGGTTATTTTTAATTGACCTACATCATGTTTTATTTTTTTTCCCAAATCGCCAATAAGCGCACGAATAGTTTTTAAAGAAGG